GGATGACGAGAAGAACGGGAAGGGATACTTGCAATGGTCAGACGGCGAGCGATATAACGGTAGGAGGGGGACGAGGAGGGGACGAGGAGGACGAGGACGAGGACGAGGAGGAAGTGGATGAGGAACAAGAACTAGCTGAAAATGATTCATCAGGCACCTTCAAGCATGGCGTGAGGAGCGGCAGCGGCGTCAACGTGTGGCCGGATGGCGATGCTTATGAGGTGGAAGAGCTTGCCAGTTGTTGAGCAGCAGCTGAGAGAGGATGCGCAGGGAGACTATCACAACGACATGCGCGAGGGCAAAGGCACTCAAGTGGGAGCAGATGGAAGCCAGTACGTGGGAGAGTTTCGGGTGACGACGTGGAGTGTACAGAAAGAGAAACAGGCTGACATACAAGCAGCTTGACAGAAAGGAAGGTTACGGAGTTTACGAAGCAGCTGACGGAACAAGATATGAAGGAAGGTTGGTGAAGACAAGGAGGGGGAGAGAGAGCGATGGGGTCAGCGAGACGAGTACAACGAGTGTTTTGATGTTGTCTCAAGCTGGCGACACGACAAACCGCATGGAAACGGAACGAAGAGGGTAAGCTGCTTCATGCTAAGCTCACACCTGCCCTTGCCTCCACTCCTCTTCTATCTCCTCTCTCCTGTGATTTCCTCTCCTCTCTCCTCTCCTCTCCTCTCTCCCCTTCTCTCTCCACTCTCCTCCTATACACTGTCGTCGACTGTAACTGATCGTTTCAGCAGTTTGCAGATGGGGATGTCTACTTCGGCGAATGGGCAGACGGTCAGTTTCATGGTCGAGGAAGGTAAGGAAACAGAGGAGCAGCAGGAGCAGGATCAGGAGTGCAGGGACAGAGCCAGCTAGATGGAGAAGCAGCGAGAGAGCTGACACGTGTTTGAAGCTACACCTATTCCTCCGGCGAGAGATACGAGGGCGACTACTTCCAGGTGGAGAGAGGAGACCGGGTCGCTTGCCTGACTTGCTGGGATCAGGATCGAGCCGAAGGTCAGGGGACGTACGAGTGGCCCAACGGAGAGATTTACAAGGGTGAGGAGGAGAGAAGAGGTTCATGGCGGGTCTGGTTGAGAGCGCGAGCAGGAGAGTTTGTCAACGGTAAGAGACATGGCTTCGGCGTTCAGGAGTTTGCCAATGGCGAGCGATACGAAGTAAGGAGAGAAAGACGTGGAGGCGATATCTTTGACTTGAGACCACAGGGTTTCTGGAAGAATGGCGTGCGCTCTGGGAAGGGTCGGTAAGTCATTGAGGAGGCTGGAAGGGCAGAGGGGGAGGAGAGAAGAGAAGGAGGGAAAACGCGACAAGGCAAGGGGAAGGGAGGGACAATGACGTTTGTCTTTCAGGCACCTCTGGCCGAATGGCGACCGATACCGCGGAGAGTTTAAGGACGGAAAGGTGAAGGAGGAAGCTGTGGTGGTTGACAGGGAGGTGCGCACAAGAAACCGAGCTGAAGATTCCATTCACAGAGACACGGAATGGGAACTTACTTCTACGCGGACGGAAGGTAAGCAAGCCTCCTCGCTCCTCCTCGCTCCTCCGTTGCTGATAGCGATCAGGCGTCACTTCGGAAAGTTCGTCAACGACGAGAAGGCCCGGCCTCCTCCCTTCCCCCAGAATTTCAACCCACTGCCTGGTACCCTTCCTCCCCGTTCTCCGTTCCTTCCCTACTCAAACTTGCGCAGACGACGGGCTCCCTTTCACTTGGAGGATGACGAGGGTGAGGAGGAGAGAAGGAGCAGAGTCGAGATGACCTCTCGCGACAGGAACACCCCGACATCGAGCAGGAACGAGACATGATGGCAGGAGACGTTGACCAGACAGGGCGGCTGCTGCGGGCGGTGACCTGAAGATCATGTTGCCCTCCTCAACAAGACTGAGAGTGGCTTGTCAGGATGGACCCTTCCCCCTCAGTGCTGAAGACTTCCTTGGTGGAAGAGGGGAGGAGGCAGAGATGTGTGGCGCTGACGTGTGATGCAGTGGACGACGTCATGCCTGACGGGACCTCGGAGGTGGAGACGGAACTTGCTTGGTGTGCTCGTCGGAAGCCAAGGTTCATGGACAGCGTCTACGATCTCTTCTCATCTGGAGACTTCTTCTTGAACTGAAGACATCTACACCTCAGCAGGAGGCTCTCACACTGAGATAAGACAATTACAAGATAGGGATCAAAGAGGTGTAAAAGGAGGAAAGTTTGGATTCTCGAAATGAGGGTCGAACCGAAAGGAAAGGGATGCCAAGAGAAACAACAATGAAAGCTGCCATCTATCATCACATCAATCTATCATCTCATCAATCTATCATCACATCAATCTATCATCACATCAATCTATCATCACATCAATCTATCATCACATCAATCTATCATCTCATCAATCTATCATCTCATCAATCTATCATCACATCAATCTATCATCACATCAATCTATCATCTCATCAATCTATCATCTCATCAATCTATCATCTCATCAATCTATCATCTCATCAATCTATCATCTCATCAATCTATCATCACATCAGTCTATCATCTCATCAATCTATCATCTCATCAATCTATCATCTCATCAATCTATCATCTCATCAATCTATCATCTCATCAATCTATCATCTCATCAATCTATCATCTCATCAATCTATCATCTCATCAATCTATCATCACATCAATCTATCATCTCATCAATCTATCATCACATCAATCTATCATCACATCAATCTATCATCACATCAATCTATCATCGCGTAAGTCTATCATTGCATCAATAGAGGAGATGCAGGAGATGACAATATACATCAATATATATAGAATTCTCTTCTTTTTTCCAGAGTTAGTAAATCTTGAAGCGCCCTGTCTGTAAGATCCAACATCTGTACACAAATAGCTGTATATAAATTGCACTCATACAGCACGCAAATGCTCATCAGTTTTGGCACCACTGGTTTCTGACTGGTTTCTGGCAGCAGTTTTGGTCCATGACGGCCCATATAACAGATCTTTATTAAATGGCTGGCGTACGTATAGAATTTGAGATGCCTCTGAGGGACTAGGCGTGTCCGGTACGCTCCTGCGTCATGACTATGGGCCTTCCAAGCCATAGCATTTATTGCAGCGAGCATTTCTCCCTCCATCGTACTGACGAACATTTAAGTGAATATTTTCGACACCGCCTTCGATATCGAGGCGAATTGAGTCAAATAGAATTGAAACTTCAGCAGAAAACTTCAACAATGAAGCAGGGTTTTTACTTGCAGTCGATCGTCATTCAAACCAGCGTGAAGATCATCGGATAAAATGATTGTATCCTGCTGTACGCCTGTAGCAGGTACCCCTCCAGTAACACAGAGAAACCAGGGGGTGAAGGTGGTCAATTTAAAATCTTTTATATGAAGTTTACGTTTTAGGGAGAAGTACCCCGTGGTCTTCCCAGTTTCTTGGGAGTGATAGGGGTGGGTAGGAGAGAAGGCGGTGCAGCTTTTAAATTTGTTGTCCTCATCTCATCTACGGTTCGCCCACATCCATGATGCGATCGCCTCTCCTCCTCCTCCTCCTCCTCCTCCTCCTTGACCCTGCACATGCTTCCAGTCACGAAGAGCCTGTCCACCATCCGTCCAGCAAGGGGCTTCACGGCTCCTTCCACATCGCTCCCGATTTCAAGAAGCTGGCCGACACAATCGCACAAAACATGATGGCGGCGAAGCGAGCTCTCCAGCTCCACAAGCTCCAAGATGCTGGCAAGCCGCAGACAGGCAGCTCTGTCCGTCAATCTACATCCTGTCCAGACTCTACTCAGGTCATCGCGAACTGCAGCTTAGAGTACTCCAGCATGTACAGCCCAAGTGCCGACATGGCAAGCATTTGTCAATCGAGCAGCACCTGCGTCAGTCAGCTGCAGACGCTGTCGAGCAAGTACAAGAGCACAGCCGGATGCTCGACCGACTATCAGGCTCAGAGTGTCCAGGCCTGGCTGTTACAGATCAAATATGGCTGTGTGAAAGACGGAAGTAAGTACTGCGCGACCACATGGGCGAGCGCTACCGATTTGTCGTACAAGGTGGTGGACGCGAGCTGGATAAGACGTCGCGGCTGACAATGCTGTCAGGATCTGTGCAGCTCTGCGTGCTTCAGCCAGTACAGGACCATATACCAAGAAGTGTACGGGGCCTCTGAAGCCGAGTACCTCAACATGGTGTGCCAGAAGGACTCCAAAGGCAACTACTGCATGGACACGATGACGTCGTCAGAGACAGCAATGTCCGGCAGCATGATATGCTCTGAGTGCGGCGCGCTGGTACGGCCTGTCGGATCAGGAGGCAGAGAAGCTTGCGGGCTGACAACGTGCGACAGATGATAAAGATGTCCCAGTCGTCTGGCGCATCGATCGCTGACAGCAGCGTCGACATCGACACCGTATATGGGGCCATGTGCTCGAAAGGTGATCAGAGCCCGACGTGACCAAGCGCTATGAGCTGACGTCATGCTCAGACGGCGACTCCTACTGCTTTGACAAATTCATCGCGGCAGCTTTGTCCACCGGAGCCAGCGGCAGCAGCAGCTCCGAGACCTGTGACGGGACGAGCTCGACCTGTACCAACGTCTGTAAGGTACGCGCGAGTGCCAGACTGCTCCGGCCGCCTTCCTTCTCAATGAGTCTTGATGCCTCCCAGAACGACCTCAAGACGGTCAACGACATTGGCTGCTGCGCAGGCTCCATGCTCGCAGCGATCCCTGAATCGAAGAAAGAGGCCGAGAACGCGGCGAAGCTCTGCTCTCAAAGCCTGCCGAAGCCATGTGAGCTCTGACAGGCCGCACGCGGAGCTTGTGACAGCTGACGTCTCGAGGGGCTGCGCAGGCGGGGCGGGGCCCTCGTTCAACCTCAAGATCGAGATATCGAACCTCAAGCAGAGCTGGTACGCCGCAAACAAGGCCACCGCAGACCCCTTGGTGAGTCGCGTCATGTCTCGAGAGAGAAGGCGGCGCCATGCCTGATCTTGAGCAGCTCGCCACGGACATGAACTCGGCCTTCGGCACTACAGCTGGGCAGGTGAGAGAGAGCGCAGAGGCCCCGCCTGCGCGTGCGATGATGGGCGGGGGGATGACGAGAGGCTGGCAGGCGAAGATGGGGGCGTCGACGGCAGGAGCAGGCGGCACTTCCATCGACGTGAGCATCACCACCGCCAACAAAGATCAGGTAACTTCGCTAGACCCGTAAGCGCTGCTCTGATGACGTCACGGCTAGGGTACTGCGGTAGAGAACAACATCAAAAAGTACAAGGCGAGGCGGAGCGGAAGCGTAAGTCAAGGACTGTGTCTCTGACCGAAGGCGCTGACGGATGGCTGGTAGTCCCTTAGCCTGGCCACCACGAGCACAAACCTTCCCTCCGACGCCAAGATCGACCCGTCCAAGGCTTTAAGCGTCACGGTCTCGTCCTACGTCAAGGGCTCCTCGGCTGCCTCGCGATCTCTTGCGTGGTCGGTGCTGTCGGTGGTTGTGCTGAACGTGTTGGTGAGACCTGCGATGCCGGGGCTTGCGAGAGACCTGACGATCAAGGGCTGCTGCAGGTCGTGGGGAGGATGGGTGCTCATTGGTGAGGGATAGGATCCTACTGTGAGGATCCGGACTCGTGGAGTGCTCTTTTGGACAAGAGAAGTGGTAGCCATGAGGCATGAAGAGATCGCAGTCGGATGACCGCGTGAAGCTGATGCTTGACGGAGCCTATGTTGCTGACCGTACTCAATGACAACGTAGTCATTAGTCACTTGCCACAACACAATACTTACAAAGCTACCTACAAGAATACTTGATAACATACATGATCACGGATCTTTTACACGTTATCCTGGCCCGCGCACAGACCGACGGTGCTGCTCGATGAGAGCGTGTTGCCGACTGACCATCTCATTGAAACTAGCACTGAGTGTCTTCAAGGTCGTTTCGCAGGCCACTGGCCTGCAATACTTGATTAAGAGTAAAAACAAACCTTCCAGTCAACAATCAAGGATATTTGAAAACTTGACCAAGGAGATTCCTCAATGGCTGAAGATGATGTTCTCCAGTCGCTGGTGCGGTTATGGCAGCGGACGGCCTCCCCCTCCTCCCCCTCCTCCCTCCCTCCCCCCTCGTCCTCCTGCCTGCCCAGCGCTCCCGCAAGTCAGCTTCCTCAGCCCTCCAGTCACTCCTATCAAGCTGCGTTCCTGTCCTCCTGCGCAAGCCTTCCTCATGCGGCGAGGGTAGCCAAGATGAAAGCTACTCAAGAAGACTTGCTGCGAATGCTGCTGCTGGCCTGCCGGGAAAGGATCGACGGCCTTTGCTCATCCATGAGGATGAGCGAGGAGGAGAAGACGTCACATCCGGAGTTACTGAGCAGCGAGGTGTCTGAAGGGCTGCTGCTGAAGCTGGAGGATCTCGAAGCAAGGCTGACGAGGGACATGGAGAGCATGAGATCACTTCTTGCAGGAGTGGCTGAGTACGAGAACCTTCTCCGAGAGCGGGCGATGCTGGAAACAACCTTCACCGACTCCTCCAGGCTGCTGGATCGCACTTCGAACTCGTACACTCTTCGGCGATCGGAGGAGCGGTACAAGGCTCTGGTGCTCAAGATCATACCTGAGAGAAGGAAGGAGCTGCTGGGGACGAAGGTACCTTGACAGCCCAGATGAAGTGATACCAGCGGACGAGGAAGGTGTACGGGGACGAGGAGCAGAGCAGTCTCAGGTGAAGGCGAGCAGAGGAAATGATATGAAGGGATCGCAGAATGTTTCGAAAGAGAGGATAGTCCGCATCCAGCACAATCGTGACAGAGGCGAAGAGCACATCTCCCAAGTCTCACAGTCTATCTCCTTCATCTCTGCTGCAGAGCCTTCTATAGAGCCAGACGCTTCTCCAGGTCAACCGCTAGTCTCCTCTCTGCACAGTAGCTCAAGTGCTTGTAGCTCGGCGGTCGAAGAAGCAAGAGCGTGCTTCAAGCCTGCTGATGGACCGGGTGGAAGCCCTGGAGACCTGGGCAAGAGAGCGGTGCGACAGGGGTGGTGTTCTTGACTGCGTGGACGTCAGGTCCTGAAGCAGCAAGGAGAGATATCAGCGATGCAGGACCAGGAGAGGCTGATGAGACAAGGTCCGTGATGAGGCGGCTGGTTTTCTGTGCTAACCCCTCCTCGCAAGAGCTGGGAGAGTCGGACTCCAAGAGCAGAGACGCGGCTATCCACAAGCTGACAGTGAGGATGAGAAGAATGGAAGGTGGAGTTTCGGGGCGTCCTCCTGCCCCTGACATGAGCGCAGACATGATGAAGAGATGTCAAGTCGGACAAGACTCGCCCAAGGCAGAGGGTCACACCAATGGTGGGTCTGGCGCTTGCTGACATGCTGCAGAGAAATCCAAGAGCATGCCTGCGGATGCGTTGGTGCTGAAGAAGGATCATAGCAAACTCCAAGAATCGCTCAAGCTTGCCCAAGAAAAGATTGTGACGTTGGAGGTTCGGGTCGGGCGCTCGCACCGCCTTGTGACAAGCCGAGCAGGCCAAGCAAGGGAAGCTGATAGAGCAGCTGGCGGAGCTCTCGCTCAAGCTGCAAGGTGAGTCAGGAGGGAGAGACTCGATGGGATGAGCTCAGGATGAGGTGCAGACAAGAAGTTCGTCCAGCCGTTAGACCTCAAGTCTGCCTTTCAGAGCTTGTTCCAAGGCTTCACCAACGTCCTCGACCCCTCTCAGCCAAAACGAGCCGGTTCCCCAGCTTTCTCCTTCTCCTGCTCTGCTCCTGCCCTTGTTTACCTCCTGCTCTGCTCCTGCTCATCCTCCTTCTCGCCTTGTTGGATCCTCAAGTCTCTCTAGGTAACTCGGGTGAGGAGAAGAAGGTTCGCTTCGCCTACATCGGCGAGCACTTCGCTCACTCGCTACTGAGCGGCTTCAGCGCCATCGAGAAAGTGGAGAAGAAGCATCTTGAGCTCCTGGTCGAGCTGGAGGAGCAGCGGGAGAGGCACCAGCAGGAGAGGATCGAAATTTCCCGCAAGCTTGCGGACGTCCTGTCGAGATGCGACAACTGCGACACCGTGGCAGAAGAAGTTAAACTCGACCTGCAGGAGGTCGCTGCTCGCGCAGAGGAAGGGAGGGAGGCAGCTCGGAGCGTGTGCTGTCTGAGCGACGAAGTGATTTCCTGCCAGCAAGGCTTGGACGAACTCCGCTCGCGCACTGTCATGCTGGAAGAGAGGAGCGGGCAATCTGAGGGGAGCAAGTCAGCACAGAGACAGGGAGATGTAAAGCAGGAAGGAGGTACAAGAGAGTGCGGAGAAGAGCATGGGGAGGAGGGGAGGAGCGCGTTGGAGGATCTTTCCTCGCGCGTGTCTCTCCTTGAAGCTTCTCTGGCAGCCTCTGCTCCCTCTCCCTCTCCCTCTATATCCGCTGAGGCCATCAACGCGCTCAGTGAGGAGCTCACAGAGAGGATAGAGGAGTCTGCGGCGCGACGAGACAGCAGCCTGATGAAGACGCTGGAGGAGGCGATGCTCTCCTGCGTGTCGCGCGACGACGTGCGAGAGAGTCTGCTGCTGTATGCCAGCAAGAAGGACCTCAAGGCGAGCGAGAGCAGGACCTGGGAGCGCATCGCCAAGGTCGAGGAGGAGGGAGCGCAGACTTCTGCGATGATCAAGCTGGCGAGGAAGGAGCTGGAGGGGATGAAGAGTAGCTTCCTCCTCTCCTCGCAGGAGCTCGCGGCAAAGCTCTCGAGCCACGAAGAAGACTGTGCCGAGGCGGTAGACGCGCTGTCAGGCAGCATTGCACAAGTCTCGTCCGAGCTCTTCAAGTTTGCAGCAAGTCAGTCGGAGCTGTTTGTTCGACGCGACGAGCTCGCCAGCATTCGAACCTTGACGAGCAAGGCGGAGAGTGAAGACAACAGAAGCAGCGAGCTAGAGGAGGAGCGGGAGGGGGAAGAGACACAGCAGCATTCGAGGGAAGAGGAGGCAAAGAAGGATCAGGAGGGGAAAGGAGAGGGAAACTTGACGAGACAAATGGTATCAGCATGTGGGTATTGTTGACTTCATTGAAAATTAGCATTGCACTGCAGTGGTTTTCATCGAGGAATTTCAAATATGGACGACTGAAGACCACCCTGAAGACCATCAAAATAACAGAGGGTCTTGTGACTCTGTACGTAAAAACGATGATTCCTGCGTACAATACAACAATAAATCTATTACACTACTAAAATTTAAATATATTCCTATTGCAGTACAATGCTAATAATATCCAAATTAAAACACTTGAAAACACAATGACAAAATTTCTATTAAGATTATGTTCAATAAATATTAATCACCCATTGCAATAAATATTATTTCAATTAAAATAATATCCAATAAATATTAATCTTGAATCTTGTTGCCATATCAATGTAAATTAATGCTGCAGTGTGGTGCATAAATTACACAATGTAAAACGGCGGTATAGCATGAGCAAAGCGAATGCTATGATGAGCACGCAGTGCTCATCTATTCCATTGCAACTTGTGCTACACTTGTTATTCCTATTACACTAGAATACCAACAAGATTCAAGATTCAACATTGGAAAAATATATTATAACCCAATTATATTTATTGAACAAAATTTGAATAAGAATAATAAACAAGATATTTTTCTAATTTCATATCAATGTAAATCATTGCTGCATTGCGGTGCATAAATTACACAATGTAAAACGGCGGTATAGCATGAGCAACGCGAATGCTATGATGAGCGCGCAGTGCGAATCTATTCCATTGCAACTTGAGCTTCACTATTACACTCGCAAACCCTTGATTACAAGTCTTCAGTCGTCCATATTTGAAATTCCTCGATGAAAACCACTGCAGTGCAATGCTAATTTTCAATGAAGTCAACAATACCCACATGCTGATACCAAATGGTAGAATTCATACCTTTAAACACAGGCATGAATCCTTAATTAAAAAAATGAATCTGTTTCAATATCAGTGTCTAAAACATCAACAGATGCCTCCTAAAAAACAATTGGATGACCATATGCCACCAAATATTATCAAATCCGCTGATGCTCCTCTTCCTAAAACATTTATTGATTTAGAGATTCTTGATTAATTCATTTATAGAACTATTCAATAAAACAAAAATAAATCATATTTTTTTATACTTACTATATACACCTATGTCGTGCATGTTTTACACTTTTCCCACACATTTTAACAGCGTTACTGCATGAAATGCGGTGGGCAAGGCCCTATCACTGTTACACTTGCTAAACTTGATTACAATGCTTACCATTAATATATCCTTTCAATTATAGCATCACATCACTGTTTGTTTTCACAACATTTCAATAAATATCAACGAGCGTACCCACGGAGTGGCTTGAACAAACATATTATACATTTGTTTTCCTATTAATTATCTCAGGCATCACGAGCTTAAATAAGTGATGCTCCACCAATCAACCTATTGGAAATACATCTGCAACGATTCTCTCTTTTGAATGTGCGTGAACCTGTAACTCTATATCAACACAAATTTAACATTAATTATCAAAACCAATAAGTGCAACATTTTTTGTGTGGTGTGATCATGCACGCATATATACATCTGCAACCCGAATACATAAGCAACGATTCTCTCTTTTGGAAATACATCTGCAACTTTTTGGATGTGCGTGAACCTATAACTCTATAGTAACCTATATCATTCACACCAATAAGTGCAATCCGTTTTTTTGTGTGGTTTGATCATACACTCATATATACATGTGCAACCAATTGGAAATACATCAGCAACCTGAATGTATCTGCAACTTTTTGGATGTGCGTGAACCTATAACTCTATAGTAACCTATATCATTCACACCAATAAGTGTAATACGTTTTTTTGTGTGGTGTGATCATACACTCATATACACATCTGCAACCAATTGAAAATACATCAGCAACCCGAATGCATCCGCAACGATTCTCTCTTTTGAATTTGCGTGACTCTGTTAACCTGTGACAACTCAAATCTAACATTAAATATTAAAACCAATAAGTGCAACCTTTTTTGTGTGGTTGCCTCCGGCAAGCACAGCGTGTGATGATACACGCATATATACATCTGCAACCCGAATGCATCAGGAACCAATTGGAAAGACATTTGCAACCTTTTGGATGTGCGTGAACCTGTAACTCTATAGTAACCTATATCATTCACACCAATAAGTGCAATACGTTTTTTTGTGTGGTTTGATCATACACTCATATATACATGTGCAACGATTCTCTCTTTTGAATGTGCGTGAACATGTAACTCTATGACAACCCAAATCTAATATTAAAACCAAAAAGTGCAATACGTTTTTTGTGTGGTTGCCTCCGGCAAGCAAAGCGGCAAAGCGTGTGATGATACACTCATATATACATCTGCAACCCGAATGCATCAGGAACCAATTGGAAATACATTTGCAACCAATTGGATGTGCGTGAACCTGTAACTCTATAGTAACCTATATCATTCACACCAAAAAGTGCAATCCATTTTTTTGTGTGGTGTGATCATGCACGCATATACACATCTGCAACCAATTGGAAATATATCTGCAACCCGAATGCATCAGGAACCAATTGGAAATACATTTTCAACCAATTGGATGTGCGTGAACCTGTAACTCTATATATCAAGTTAAATCTAATTTATCATTCCCACCAAAAAGTGCAATCCATTTTTTTGTGTGGTGTGATCATGCACGCATATACACATCTGCAACCAATTGGAAATATATCTGCAACCCGAATGCATCAGGAACCAATTGGAAATACATTTGCAACCAATTGGATGTGCGTGAACCTGTAACTCTATAGTAACCTATATCATTCCCACCAAAAAGTGCAATCCATTTTTTTGTGTGGTGTGATCATGCACTCATATAAAAAGTAAAGCTTTTGTGGTGTGAGTACTTAAAAAAATGAACATTGAAATATAAGATTAAGATAGAAAAATGTCTGATTCCCTAGAAAATTCATTAGGGAAAATAGAGATAGATATGAAAGAATATGTAGAAGAATGGAAAATAGAAGAAGATGTGATAACTTATGGGAAACATATATGTTGTGTATGCAATGAAGAAGAAGCGACAATAGAATGTGAGCAATGCAAATCATATCCGATATGTATAGATTGTATAAATAATCTAAAGAAGAGATATGTATATTACAAAGAGATATTTGAAGTGAAGGGGATAACACGTAAATATGATGAGAGACATAGTCATAAGATAACATTTGAATGTCCATTGTGTAGGAAGGTGAATGAGATAAGCATGTGGAAAGAAGAATTAACGAAGGAGGATGTGATAAAATTCACGTTTGGAGATTATGCATTTATCTCAATGCTAGTGAATGAGAATAAAATCCTGAATGAAAGCATGAAAAACTCATATCATAGAGATTATCAAGGAGATTATGAAGGAAAACATAGAATTGAAGGACTACAAGAAAAGATATGAAGACTTGATGAGATATATAAATGAGAAGAAAGATATATTTGATAAAGAATCGTGCAATATAGAGAATCAGAAATTAAGATTTAAATTGAGCGATAGTGTAAGGGAAATAAAAGAATTGAAGAGAGAGAAAATGTTGCTAAGAGCATATAATGAAGGTTTATGTCACATGATGGAAAAATATAAATCAATGGTGAAAGAAAGTTTTATGAAAGTGGATAGATATACGAAGAGAAAAAGGGATGAATTCATAGGAAAACTAGAATTGCGAATGAGAATAAATGTAAAAGTGAGAGAGGATAACACTCATGAATGTTATAGTTCATGGATATAAAGGTTTTTTATTTATAAAGAGTAAATGTCGTGTTCAGAAAAACAAAGGGGGGAAGCAAAAGAGGATAAACGAGAATATAGCAACAGGAAGAATAGAGAACACAAGGAACGAATGAAGGCAGACGGTACAATAAAGAAATATTATGATCAGATAAACTCATTGAACAGGGAGAAATATCAAAAGAATGAAGAATTCCACAAGATGATGAATGAAATAGTAAGAAGGAATCAACATAGAAGATATAATGAAGACCCAGAATATAGAGAGAAGATCAAGAAGAGGAATCAAGAAAGATATTATATGAAAAAACAAGCTGCATTAACAGCAAAAGCAGGTTTGTGCGAAGGAGAAGATGATCAAACCTTCCTTTCCGAGTCCATCCATGCTTCTATCGTCGACCTTTGCATTGTCAAGATATGGAAAACATCCATCAATTCTATCCAATGAATTTGGATAGCCCTCAGGTTGCCTCGACTTTGAACCATATCAGTCCAAGGCCAGACCGTCGTTTGCCGTCATGGGACCTGAAAACCTGGAGGGGAGTAGAGTACTTTGCTTGGATGGAAGGCTTCCTTGATTGCAAAGGTAGACCAGATGTCAGCACATTTATGAGCTTTGTTGGAAATGGATATTTGTTTTCACCAGCATCTGTTGTCGGCAATACCATACAGGGATATTTCAGTCTGTCATGTCAGGTGAATCAGCTACAGTATGAAAAGGAAATGCTTACTAGGGAAAATATGGCGCTGAAAGAGTTGTTGCCAAACGTAGACAGAATTTTGAACTTGACGTTCGAAGACATTTGGAAAGCCAATTATCCCAATGATAAGTGCCCCATGAATGTCGAAGATATCCCCAAGGAGTTCGAGTATCGGAAGGAAAAAATTCTCAAAGACATTTTCTCCGAGGTTGGGTCATTATCTGCTTTGTTGTCAAAAGGTATTCGTCAGATGTCTGGGCTTAATGGCTCTAGTCAGGCTGGAAAGGCATTCGGCCATCTTTCCACGTTGAGGCAAAATCCGGATTCATTGTTTCATTTCGAAAATTTTTTGACAGGATATGCTCACGCAATTGCACCGAATTTGGACAGCCGTTGTGAGAGAAATCGCAAAGTCAAAAAAGCCATCCAGAGCTTGTATGATGCAATAGCTCCCAACGTGGATGAAGTTGGTCTCTTGACTATGGGTCAACAGCTGACACACAAATCTTTGAAATTCGTTCATGACATGATGAAAAAATGCGGAGTCAAAATATTTGGAAGTACATCTTCTATCAGTACTTCGAGAGCCAAGCAGAAGAAGCTTGTGACTGACATGGTGGACGGAATCAATGAACTTCCTGGCGGACATGGTGCTTCCATTCTCAAATTGCTCGAACTGTTGTTCATGAAGCTTGCGCGAGAAGATCCAAACATGTACCTTGTAGAATCCTTGGTGCTTTCCCTCTGTTTCGATAGCACGAGATTGGGATCATCAGCTCAGTCAGGTACAGAACAGACAGAGTTTGCAATGAATCTCATAGCTGTGTGGAACAAGGCGGTTGACGTTGCAAACTCTATGTTTGACCAGGAGACCAGAATGAATTCGCCTGCTTCATATATCTCTTTCTTGTTGTTGTACCTGAAGGACACTATCGAGAATATTGACAAGAATCTGTGGAATGTCTATGGTTTTGATTTGAAAAGCATCTTGAAGGATCTGTTTGTCACTTGTGAGAACGGAGAGATCAAGAAAATCAAAGCTGGACTTCACTTCTACAAGGACAAAGATGGGGTTTTGAACTGCATTGGGGGACGTGATAGAACAGCCAGTGATCCGAATTCCACACCTGATCTCGTCATTGAAATAAAAAATATTTGGCCTACCCCACCTTAAGACATATGACATAAAAACAAGGGGTAGTCATCGGCTGTCTTGCCTGAGCGGACGGGTGCCTAGAAGATTCAGAAACTTTTTGGTACAAAATTTGTACGAAGGGGTCAGGACCCCTCTGGTACAAAACATGCAACGATTTGGTACAAGTATTTTAAAGCCCGTACAAACAAAATGGTCTGGTACAATAAATTCCAGAAGGGACTTGGAACGGAATGCAACCTAAACCTGCTAAAAAACCAGCTAAACTGCATCCTAATTCCCTGTTAGCATTGGAACTGATGCATTCGGGTTGCAGATATATTTCCAATTGGTTGCAGATGTGTATATGCGTGCATGATCACACCACACAAAAAAATGGATTGCACTTTTTGGTGTGAATGATATAGGTTACTATAGAGTTACAGGTTCACGCACATCCAATTGGTTGCAAATGTATTTCCAATTGGTTCCTGATGCATTCGGGTTGCAGATGTATATATGAGTGTATCATCACACGCTTTGCCGCTTTGCTTGCCGGAGGCAACCACACAAAAAACGTATTGCACTTTTTGGTTTTAATATTAGATTTGGGTTGTCATAGAGTTACATGTTCACGCACATTCAAAAGAGAGAATCGTTGCACATGTATATATGAGTGTATGATCAAACCACACAAAAAAACGTATTGCACTTATTGGTGTGAATGATATAGGTTACTATAGAGTTACAGGTTCACGCACATCCAAAAGGTTGCAAATGTCTTTCCAATTGGTTCCTGATGCATTCGGGTTGCAGATGTATATATGCGTGTATCATCACACGCTGTGCTTGCCGGAGGCAACCACACAAAAAAGGTTGCACTTATTGGTTTTAATATTTAATGTTAGATTTGAGTTGTCACAGGTTAACAGAGTCACGCAAATTCAAAAGAGAGAATCGTTGCGGATGCATTCGGGTTGCTGATGTATTTTCAATTGGTTGCAGATGTGTATATGAGTGTATGATCACACCACACAAAAAAACGTATTACACTTATTGGTGTGAATGATATAGGTTACTATAGAGTTATAGGTTCACGCACATCCAAAAAGTTGCAGATACATTCAGGTTGCTGATGTATTTCCAATTGGTTGCACATGTATATATGAGTGTATGATCAAACCACACAAAAAAACGGATTGCACTTATTGGTGTGAATGATATAGGTTACTATAGAGTTATAGGTTCACGCACATCCAAAAAGTTGCAGATGTATTTCCAAAAGAGAGAATCGTTGCTTATGTATTCGGGTTGCAGATGTATATATGCGTGCATGATCACACCACACAAAAAATGTTGCACTTATTGGTTTTGATAATTAATGTTAAATTTGTGTTGATATAGAGTTACAGGTTCACGCACATTCAAAAGAGAGAATCGTTGCAGATGTATTTCCAATAGGTTGATTGGTGGAGCATCACTTATTTAAGCTCGTGATGCCTGAGATAATTAATAGGAAAACAAATGTATAATATGTTTGTTCAAGCCACTCCGTGGGTACGCTCGTTGATATTTATTGAAATGTTGTGAAAACAAACAGTGATGTGATGCTATAATTGAAAGGATATATTAATGGTAAGCATTGTAATCAAGTTTAGCAAGTGTAACAGTGATAGGGCCTTGCCCACCGCATTTCATGCAGTAACGCTGTTAAAATGTGTGGGAAAAGTGTAAAACATGCACGACATAGGTGTATATAGTAAGTATAAAAAAATATGATTTATTTTTGTTTTATTGAATAGTTCTATAAATGAATTAATCAAGAATCTCTAAATCAATAAATGTTTTAGGAAGAGGAGCATCAGCGGATTTGATAATATTTGGTGGCATATGGTCATCCAATTGTTTTTTAGGAGGCATCTGTTGATGTTTTAGACACTGATATTGAAACAGATTCATTTTTTTAATTAAGGATTCATGCCTGTGTTTAAAGGTATGAATTCTACCATTTGGTATCAGCATGTGGGTATTGTTGACTTCATTGAAAATTAGCATTGCACTGCAGTGGTTTTCATCGAGGAATTTCAAATATGGACGACTGAAGACTTGTAATCAAGGGTTTGCGAGTGTAATAGTGAAGCTCAAGTTGCAATGGAACAGATTCGCACTGCGCGCTCATCATAGCATTCGCGTTGCTCATGCTATACCGCCGTTTTACATTGTGTAATTTATGCACCGCAATGCAGCAATGATTTACATTGATATGAAATTAGAAAAATATCTTGTTTATTATTCTTATTCAAATTTTGTTCAATAAATATAATTGGGTTATAATATATTTTTCCAATGTTGAATCTTGAATCTTGTTGGTATTCTAGTGTAATAGGAATAACAAGTGTAGCACAAGTTGCAATGGAATAGATGAGCACTGCGTGCTCATCATAGCATTCGCTTTGCTCATGCTATACCGCCGTTTTACATTGTGTAATTTATGCACCACACTGCAGCATTAATTTACATTGATATGGCAACAAGATTCAAGATTAATATTTATTGGATATTATTTTAATTGAAATAATATTTATTGCAATGGGTGATTAATATTTATTGAACATAATCTTAATAGAAATTTTGTCATTGTGTTTTCAAGTGTTTTAATTTGGATATTATTAGCATTGTACTGCAATAGGAATATATTTAAATTTTAGTAGTGTAATAGATTTATTGTTGTATTGTACGCAGGAATCATCGTTTTTACGTACAGAGTCACAAGACCCTCTGTTATTTTGATGGTCTTCAGGGTGGTCTTCAGTCGTCCATATTTGAAATTCCTCGATGAAAACCACTGCAGTGCAATGCTAATTTTCAATGAAGTCAACAATACCCACATGCTGATACCATATTTGGTTGCAGCGCAGGTGAGCACCCCTACAGTTTAGCGTAAATCAAGGGGTGAAGGTGATCAATCTAAAACCCTTTATATGAAGTTGACATTTTAGGGAGAAGTACCCCGTGGTCTTCCCAGTTTCTTGGGAGTGATAGGGGTGGGTAGGGGAGAAAGGCGGTGCCGCGCTCAAATTCATGATGCGATCGCCTCTCCTCCTCCTCCTCCTCCTCCTCCTCCTTGACCCCGCACATGCTTCCAGTCACGAAGAGCCTGTCCACCATCCATCCAGCAAGGGGCTTCACGGCTCCTTCCACATCGCTCCCGATTTCAAGAAGCTGGCCGACACAATCGCACAAAACATGATGGCGGCGAAGCGAGCTCTCCAGCTCCACAAGCTCCAAGATGCTGGCAAGCTGCAGACAGGCAGCTCTGTCCGTCAATCTACATCCTGTCCAGACTCTACTCAGGTCATCGCGAACTGCAGCTTAGAGTACTCCAGCATGTACAGCCCAAGTGCCGACATGGCAAGCATTTGTCAATCGAGCAGCACCTGCGTCAGTCAGCTGCAGACGCTGTCGAGCAAGTACAAGAGCACAGCCGGATGCTCGACCGACTATCAGGCTCAGAGTGTCCAGGCCTGGCTGTTACAGATCAAATATGGCTGTGTGAAAGACGGAAGTAAGTACTGCGCGACCACATGGGCGAGCGCTACCGATTTGTCGTACAAGGTGGTGGACGCGAGCTGGATAAGACGTCGCGGCTGACAATGCTGTCAGGATCTGTGCAGCTCTGCGTGCTTCAGCCAGTACAGGACCATATACCAAGAAGTGTACGGGGCCTCTGAAGCCGAGTACCTCAACATGGTGTGCCAGAAGGACTCCAAAGGCAACTACTGCATGGACACGATGACGTCGTCAGAGACAGCAATGTCCGGCAGCATGATATGCTCTGAGTGCGGCGCGCTGGTACGGCCTGTCGGATCAGGAGGCAGAGAAGCTTGCGGGCTGACAACGTGCGACAGATGATAAAGATGTCCCAGTCGTCTGGCGCATCGATCGCTGACAGCAGCGTCGACATCGACACCGTATATGGGGCCATGTGCTCGAAAGGTGATCAGAGCCCGACGTGACCAAGCGCTATGAGCTGACGTCATGCTCAGACGGCGACTCCTACTGCTTTGACAAATTCATCGCGGCAGCTTTGTCCGCCGCAGCCAGCGGCGGCAGCAGCTCCGAGACCTGTGACGGGACGAGCTCGACCTGTACCAACGTCTGTAAGGTACGCGCGAGTGCCAGACTGCTCCGGCCGCCTTCCTTCTCAATGAGTGCCGAAAGTAAACATGCCCTAATGAAACCCAACATTTTTTACGTTGATCTGAAGAATCTAGGACGAGGAGCAGAAAAGAATAATGAAAGAGGCCGAGAACGCGGCGAAGCTCTGCTCTCAAAGCCTGCCGAAGCCATGTGAGCTCTGACAGGCCGCACGCGGAGCTTGTGACAGCTGACGTCTCGAGGGGCTGCGCAGGCGGGGCGGGGCCCTCGTTCAACCTCAAGATCGAGATATCGAACCTCAAGCAGAGCTGGTACGCCGCAAACAAGGCCACCGCAGACCCCTTGGTGAGTCGCGTCATGTCTCGAGAGAGAAGGCGGCGCCATGCCTGATCTTGAGCAGCTCGCCACGGACATGAACTCGGCCTTCGGCACTACAGCTGGGCAGGTGAGAGAGAGCGCAGAGGCCCCGCCTGCGCGTGCGATGATGTGCGGGGGGATGACGAGAGGCTGGCAGGCGAAGATGGGGACGTCGACGGCAGGAGCAGGCGGCACTTCCATCGACGTGAGCATCACCACCGCCAACAAAGATCAGGTAACTTCGCTAGACCCGTAAGCGCTGCTCTGATGACGTCACGGCTAGGGTACTGCGGTAGAGAACAACATCAAAAAGTACAAGGCAAGGCGGAGCGGAAGCGTAAGTCAAGGACTGTGTCTCTGACCGAAGGCGCTGACGGATGGCTGGTAGTCCCTTAGCCTGGCCACCACGAGCACAAACCTTCCCTCCGACGCCAAGATCGACCCGTCAAAGGGTTTCAGCGTCACGGTCTCGTCCTACGTCAAGGCCTCCTCGGCTGCCTCGCGATCTCTTGCGTGGTCGGTGCTGTCGGTGGTTGTGCTGAACGTGTTGGTGAGACCTGCGATGCTGGGGCTTGCGAGAACCTGACGATCAAGGGCTGCTGCAGGTCGTGGGGAGGATGGGTGCTCATTGGTGAGGGATAGGATCCTACTGTGAGGATCCGGACTCGTGGAGTGCTCTTTTGGACAAGAGAAGTGGTAGCCATGAGGCATGAAGAGATCGCAGTCGGATGACCGCGTGAAGCTGATGCTTGACGGAGCCTATGTTGCTGACCGTACTCAATGACAACGTAGTCATTAGTCACTTGCCACAACACAACACTTACAAAGCTACCTAGAAGAATACTTGATAACATTATACATGATCACGGATCTTTTACACGTTATCCTGGCCCGCGCACAGACCGACGGTGCTGCTCGATGAGAGCGTGTTGCCGACTGACCATCTCATTGAAACTAGCACTGAGTGTCTTCAAGGTCGTTTCGCAGGCCACTGGCCTGCAATACTTGATTAAGAGTAAAAACAAACCTTCCAGTCAACAATCAAGGATATTTGAAAACTTGACCAAGGAGATTCCTCAATGGCTGAAGATGATGTTCTCCAGTCGCTGGTGCGGTTATGGCAGCGGACGGCCTCCCCCTCCTCCCCCTCCTCCCTCCCTCCCCCCTCGTCCTCCTGCCTGCCCTGCGCTCCCGCAAGTCAGCTTCCTCAGCCCTCCAGTCACTCCTATCAAGCTGCGTTCCTGTCCTCCTGCGCAAGCCTTCCTCATGCGGCGAGGGTAGCCAAGATGAAAGCTACTCAAGAAGACTTGCTGCGAATGCTGCTGCTGGCCTGCCGGGAAAGGATCGACGGCCTTTGCTCATCCATGAGGATGAGCGAGGAGGAGAAGACGTCACATCCGGAGTTACTGAGCAGCGAGGTGTCTGAAGGGCTGCTGCTGAAGCTGGAGGATCTCGAAGCAAGGCTGACGAGGGACATGGAGAGCATGAGATCACTTCTTGCAGGAGTGGCTGAGTACGAGAACCTTCTCCGAGAGCGGGCGATGCTGGAAACAACCTTCACCGACTCCTCCAGGCTGCTGGATCGCACTTCGAACTCGTACACTCTTCGGCGATCGGAGGAGCGGTACAAGGCTCTGGTGCTCAAGATCATACCTGAGAGAAGGAAGGAGCTGCTAGAAGCGATAGAGGAGTGGGAGAGGAGCAACGGGAAGGCGTTCTTGACGTGGGGACGAAGGTACCTGGACAGCCCAGATGAAGTGATACCAGCGGACGAGGAAGGTGTACGGGGACGAGGAGCAGAGCAGTCTCAGGTGAAAGAGAGGATAGTCCGCATCCAGCACAATCGTGACAGAGGCCAAGAGCACATCTCCCAAGTGTCACAGTCTATCTCCTTCGTCTCTGCTGCAGAGCCTTCTATAGAGCCAGACGCTTCTCCAGGTCAACCGCTAGTCTCCTCTCTGCACAGTAGCTCAAGTGCTTGTAGCTCGGCGGTCGAAGAAGCAAGAGCGTGCTTCAAGCCTGCTGATGGACCGGGTGGAAGCCCTGGAGACCTGGGCAAGAGAGCGGTGCGACAGGGGTGGTGTTCTTGACTGCGTGGACGTCAGGTCCTGAAGCAGCAAGGAGAGATATCAGCGATGCAGGACCAGGAGAGGCTGATGAGACAAGGTCCGTGATGAGGCTGCTGATTTCTGTGCTAACCCCTCCTCGCAAGAGCTGGGAGAGTCGGACTCCAAGAGCAGAGACGCGGCTATCCACAAGCTGACAGTGAGGATGAGAAGAATGGAAGGTGGAGTTTCGGGGCGTCCTCCTGCCCCTGACATCAGCGCAGACATGATGAAGAGATGTCAAGTCGGACAAGACTCGCCCAAGGCAGAGGGTCACACCAATGGTGGGTCTGGCGCTTGCTGACATGCTGCAGAGAAATCCAAGAGCATGCCTGCGGATGCGTTGGTGCTGAAGAAGGATCATAGCAAACTCCAAGAATCGCTCAAGCTTGCCCAAGAAAAGATTGTGACGTTGGAGGTTCGGGTCGGGCGCTCGCACCGCCTTGTGACAAGCCGAGCAGGCCAAGCAAGGGAAGCTGATAGAGCAGCTGGCGGAGCTCTCGCTCAAGCTGCAAGGTGAGTCAGGAGGGAGAGACTCGATGGGATGAGCTGAGGATGAGGTGCAGACAAGAAGTTCGTCCAGCCGTCAGACCTCAAGTCTGCCTTTCAGAGCTTGTTCCAAGGCTTCACCAACGTCCTCGACCCCTCTCAGCCAAAACGAGCCGGTTCCCCAGCTTTCTCCTTCTCCTGCTCTGCTCCTGCCCTTGTTTACCTCCTGCTCTGCTCCTGCTCATCCTCCTTCTCGCCTTGTTGGACCCTCAAGTCTCTCTAGGTAACTCGGGTGAGGAGAAGAAGGTTCGCTTCGCCTACATCGGCGAGCACTTCGCTCACTCGCTACTGAGCGGCTTCAGCGCCATCGAGAAAGTGGAGAAGAAGCATCTTGAGCTCCTGGTCGAGCTGGAGGAGCAGCGGGAGAGGCACCAGCAGGAGAGGATCGAAATTTCCCGCAAGCTTGCGGACGTCCTGTCGAGATGCGACAACTGCGACACCGTGGCAGAAGAAGTTAAACTCGACCTGCAGGAGGTCGCTGCTCGCGCAGAGGAAGGGAGGGAGGCAGCTCGGAGCGTGTGCTGTCTGAGCGACGAAGTGATTTCCTGCCAGCAAGGCTTGGACGAACTCCGCTCGCGCACTGTCATGCTGGAAGAGAGGAGCGGGCAATCTGAGGGGAGCAAGTCAGCACAGAGACAGGGAGATGTTAAGCAGGAAGGAGGTACAAGAGAGTGCGGAGAAGAAGATGGGGAGGAGGGGAGGAGCGCGTTGGAGGATCTTTCCTCGCGCGTGTCTCTCCTTGAAGCTTCTCTGGCTGCCTCTGCTCCCTCTCCCTCTCCCTCTATATCCGCTGAGGCCATCAACGCGCTCAGTGAGGAGCTAACAGAGAGGATGGAGGAGTCTGCGGCGCGACGAGACAGCAGCCTGATGAAGACGCTGGAGGAGGCGATGCTCTCCTGCGTGTCGCGCGACGACGTGCGAGAGAGTCTGCTGCTGTATGCCAGCAAGAAGGACCTCAAGGCGAGCGAGAGCAGGACCTGGGAGCGCATCGCCAAGGTCGAGGAGGAGGGAGCGCAGACTTCTGCGATGATCAAGCTGGCGAGGAAGGAGCTGGAGGGGATGAAGAGTAGCTTCCTCCTCTCCTCGCAGGAGCTCGCGGCAAAGCTCTCGAGCCACGAAGAAGACTGTGCCGAGGCGGTAGACGCGCTGTCAGGCAGCATTGCACAAGTCTCGTCCGAGCTCTTCAAGTTTGCAGCAAGTCAGTCGGAGCTGTTTGTTCGACGCGACGAGCTCGCCAGCATTCGAACCTTGACGAGCAAGGCGGAGAGTGAAGACAACAGAAGCAGCGAGCTAGAGGAGGAGCGGGAGGGGGAAGAGACACAGCAGCATTCGAGGGAAGAGGAGGCAAAGAAGGATCAGGAGGGGAAAGGAGAGGGAAAGAGAGAGCAAACAGATGTCAAGAAGAGGGAAGAGAAATGCAGAGAAGGGCTGAAAGGGAGCGACGAGGATCAAAGAGGAGAAGAGGAGCTCGAGCACGAGGAGCATGAGCAGCAGCAAACGAGGAAGCAGCACCACGAACAGAACGAGGATACCATGCATGACAGAGAGGACGGGGACACGAGAAGTCAGAAGCTTGAGGCAGCGAAGGAGAGGGGGGAGGAGGAGCACAGGGCTAGAGAGGTCACGAGAGAGGGGAGGGAGGAGGGGTCGCGTGAGAGCGCCATGGAAGCATCTCAAGCGTCGCTGGGCATGAAGAAGAAGGTGCGGCTTGGCGCGCTCTGCTCTGCTTGCTGCTGATAGGTGGACGCAGTCGCTCAAGCTCAGGCACGAGGAGCGGCTGAGGATGAGAACGATGAACAAGCTGCTGGGAAGGTGAAGATGGAGGAGGAGGCGGACGGAAAGTTTGTGTGATTTTGTACATCATCGTATGAACACTTCGTAATGAAACAGAGCCAAGGACGTCGCCACCATCCCCAGCAGCACCCCCAGTGTCGTGCCCACCACAACCTCTAGCCAGACCCACGTGCCCTCACCCGCCCCCTGCTGGCCCGTCAAGAGGAGCAGGAGGAGGAGGCACGTCGCTTACCTGCTGAGAGGTAGGAACTAGCCTTGTCCCGTTGGTCTGCATCCACTCCAGCCCGTTGTGCAGATTCATCCCTGCCGCACTCTCATCTCCTGCTCTCCTCCTCCTTCACCGCCACCCTTCCCCCTCCTTCTCTTCTCCCCCCTGCTCTCACTCGCCCCCTCTCGCTGCCCCCACAGCCTCCTCGTCAAGACGAACCGAAGACAGCAGACACGAAGACTCCCGCGCTCAACCACGCCAGGGCCATCTGGAAGGCAACCTGCAAAGACGTGACCTTCCATCTCATTCGCCCCCTCCACGTCCTTCTCCGTCCTCCCCTCCTCTCCTCTCCTCTCCTCACCCTCTCCCCGCTCCCTCCTCCCCCCTCACCTCCGCGCGCAGAAGTTTGTTTTGCGAGTAGCTCAGTTTCAGCTGAACCAGCATCTTGCTGTCATGGATTTCCTGCTTGAGGTGAGCCCAACGAAAGATGGGAAGGGGGGACAGGGGAGCTGGGAGGGACAGGCAGCAAGTGGATGGATAGAAGGGAGGAAGGGAGCGGAAGAAGAGTGAGGTTAGGAGCAGAGATGGAGCGGCATAGAAGGGAGGGAGACGGGTAGAAGGCGAGGAATGAGAGCGGGGAGATAGGGGAGGGGAAAAGGAGAAGAGGAGGAGAGGAGAGGGGGAGAGGAGAGGGGGAGAGGGGGAGAGGGGGAGAGGAGAGGAGGAGAGGGGGAGAGGGGGAGACTGAGGGAGACGGGAGGAACCTTGAGGATCTTTCTCAAGTTGAATCTTCAGATATCCACACGTCAGCAGTGGCTCGTCAACCGTCTCCTCCAAACCTCAAGTTGAGAAGCTCGACCATGTAGCCGTCCAGTCGACCCTCCACCTTGAGGCCAGTCAGAGGCCGATCCCCATCCTCCCTCCTCCCGCCTGCTCCCTCCTGTTCCCTGCTATTTCTCCCTCCTTCTTGCTCCTCTTGCCCTCCCATCCTGTCCAATTTCCCCTTCCCCCCCCCCTCCTCCTTCCTCTTTTTCCTCACTCCCTCCTGCTGCTCCCTCCTTCACGTTCACCTGCATCTTCTTGTACATGAAGTCGCCCTCCTGTGGCTCCGGTCTCTCGGGTTCTTCTTCTCCACCGGCAGCCCTGCAGATCCTCACTTCCTCCTCTCAATTTCTCCCTCCAGCTCCCACTCCCTTACCCTGAATCATGCACGGATTCCAACGCAGCATACACTCCGTCAACCTTCTCTGTTCGTTAGATTCCGATTCCACTTCTCCATCCACGTCCCCCCTCCCCCTTCCCCGTAAATGTCTCTCTCCCTCCCTCTCCCTCTCTCCCTCCCTCGCCCTCTCCCTCTGTTCCTCCTCGGGGCGCCTCGTCTCCACCTGCCGCAGCATATCCTCGAGCTGCACCTGCATTAGCGTTCGACAAGAGACTCGCTCGCTCTCACCCGCGAGCGGAGGCAGTAGAGCCGATGGAGCTGGGGCAGAGAGTGAGCGGCGGCTAGAGGACAGGAGAGCTCACGTCCTGACTACCGATCCTCTTTTTCATGGACAGTTGGATCATGGCACTGAGAGTGAACGGGGATCAGCGGAGGAGGCTTGTTTCCTAGGGGGCTGGTACCTGCTGTAGATATGGAGTTGGATCTGGTCGATGTAGCTACAAGGCAGTGAGAGGCGAAGCTGGAAGGACGAGGAGGCGTCAACCTCTGTAGGACGGTGTCAACCAGTGCGTCCATGACAACCAGCTGGAAGTCCTGCTGGGACTGTCCAACATCATCAGGACGGTGGAGAGGAGACGCCGTTTGCCCTTTACCTCCTCCTTCCTCCTCAAGATTTCACTGCGGAGCTGCTGCAGCAAACCCTCGTCGCCTTCGGGAACAACCTGCTCGGAAGTTAATTTCTCTGGCACTTTCCTCTCCCTTCCCCGCTTCTTCTCCCCTCCCCTCAGCCTCCTCCTTCCCTTCCCTCTCTCTCTCTCGCCCCTCGTCCTACATCACGTTCACTCACCACATAGGCAGCTCGCTCCATGATTACTGCGCGGAGAGGGTCCAGACCTGCTCAAATCACACGATCAGACAAGGAGAGAGGGTCGAGAGAAGAAGGAGGAGGAAGTAGAGGAGGAGGAAGGAGAGAAGCAGAGAAGAGAAGGGAAGAGAGAAGGACGAAGAGGAGGGGGAGGGAGGAGAGGAGCGCATGAACGAGATCAACGCACCCACTACAATCGCTCCCTCCTTCACAATTACAGCGGCAGTAGAAAGCGTCTGCAGGCCGCAGCATGACAACGAGCTAGCCGGGAGGGAGCAAGACCTGAAGAGGACGGAGGTCTCGCATGCGGAGAAACTGGTCGGACATGCAGGATGACTCGCGGAAGAAGCTGCAGTGAAGCATACATGTCACAAGGCAGAGGAAGAGACGTCCTCATCTTCAGGCTCACTGAGTCGTCTTCTTGCTTCCTCCATGCCATGGCTTCCCTTGCAGGTCCACCTGCCCAGTTCCCCTCACCCTCCCCGCGCATGCCCTCCTGACTCACGTTGGGGAATAGAATCTTCCGCAGGCCCGTCTCAACTTTCATCCCAACAAAGTACTCAGCGAGCAGACCAAACTGCAACGAAATCAGCCCATAAAATTCCCCTGGTACTCCACTTTCCTCCTCCTCCCCCTCCTCCTCTCCCTCACCTGGTTCAGATCTTCCCGCTCGACCATTCGTCCGTCCTGTGAAATCTCGCAGATCTTCATGGGAAGACAGGTGACAAGGTTTGAAATTCCGGGCTTGAGCCTTTACATGGTCCAACTTCAGTGCAAGACCCACTCAACAAGCAATACCGATGAGAGAAGAAAGAATCACAAAGGAAAACATGCGCTGGAACTTGTGGTCTGTGCGAACTTTATCAGGACACCTTGTTTCACAAAAGAGATCCACAACGTGAAAGTGTGCAGCATTGTTCGGAACGGGTTGACAACAAAGGTCTGCATGCTGAATGCTCCCTCCAAGTTATCCGAAGACCTGGAGCCATGATGAGTGCAATGGGCAACCGGAGGATCAACCCTCACGATATGCTCTCTGCATCTTTCTCTATCCTCCGCATCGCATCTGATCCCTGAGATGGTGATCAGGAACACTCGAGCCACTAGCAAAGTCACCCATCGCGCAAGAGCCGGAAAGAGCATCCGTTCTCCTGCTGACCAGCAGCTCGACGAAGAGACTGCTGCTCGGAATACCGAGAATCTCCCCTCATCAACCTGAGAAGAGGTCAGAACAATGTCTCACAGCTCTCATCGTCGACGTCTTCCACCTCCTCCCCTCCTCGATCTCTCGTCCTCACCTGGGAGAGAGCAACCCCATCGCTGCGACGACGTCCTGGACTGTACTCCTCCTGTTGTTCATCCTGACTGTGCAGGAGCGGCCTCCTTAGCTCCATGTTTCCTCGTATGTGACGAGAGTGCATCCTGTTCTACGGGATGTCTCCTCTCGCCCTCTCTTCTCTTCCTCCTGCTTCGTCTTCCTCGTCCTCCTCTTCTTTAATGCCCTCACTGCATTGAAGCCGATCGAAAACCTTTTGGTTTCTACTTTTACTCAATTGAAACTTTTAAAAACACAAGTCAAGTCTGCCTCAGGACTTAAACTATCATAAGATGAAGGCAGTAATACTCCACCCCTTTGTTCGCAACCAGGTTCGCGACACCTGCAGACCCTGGGTCAGCCATCATCCCCCTTGCGAGTCAAGCCGTATCGGAGGGCATGGCATATGGGAGGAGCGAGGAGAAAGAGGGGAGGAGGAGGTAGAGGACGAGGATGACGACGATCACGATGCTTCAACTTGTGCTGCTTGTTGCAGGCTTCGCCTTTGTCATGCCATCGGTGGGTTGCAGGCTTGTTTGTTTCTCAGGGAACCTCCAGTTGAGGGGGGGGGTGTACGGGGCCATCCAGTTCGAGGAGGAAACGAAGGATCCGATCTTCAGCGGGAGGTGGCAGCAGGACGTCAGTGATGAGCCAGACAATGAAGAGCTGAGAGACATCTTTCTTGCGCGGGACCATGTCCCTAGAGAAGGCGATACCCTGGTAAGATCTGATGCGTGAGACGTTTTTAGCTTCTGATGCTGTCCTGTGGCTCATCAGCAAATGTCCTATGTCAGGGAAATATTGAGGAGAGCGAAGATTGAGAGAGGAGAGCTGCCCAATGAAAAGTGTCTTCGAGGATGCACAACTTCAGGGCTAATGCTGATTCAGGTACTTGAATCGAACGGAGGAGGAGCTCAAACAGATTGACGCGGACGAGCTGCTATGGTTCGGGGCTTCGCAAGGCGACGTTGCTCTGGTTGGTGCATGCTAAGATGTGGGATCGAATACTGAAGAAGGTTGCAGGTGCGGCAAGCCATCAGTGAAGGTGCCAACGTGAATTCAATTGACCCGTCCAAAAACAATCAGACTGCGTTGCACTGCGCTTGTGATATGATGGTAAGAAACGAAGATTGAAGAGTCGAGAGCTGAAATGCTTTAGACGGGCTACCTGGATGTTGTGGAGGTTCTTACGGCTCATGGAGCGTCTGTGAATGCTGTGAATTGTTTCAACACAACTCCGTTGCATCAAGCAGCTTTCTGGGCCCACAAGGTGAAGGACTTTGTCTTTGAGGACGCGACATGATCGGCAAGCAGGACGTTGTGGTGAAGCTGCTGGAGCTGGGAGCTGATCCTGTCGCGAAGAATGATGCTGAGATGACTCCCCTGCTCAATGCCGACGCTGAGTGGAAGGTGAGACTGCGGCACGTGAAGAGGGTGGGAGTGACGACGACTAGGTCAACTCCCGTCCGCTACCCATTAGAGAGGTTGCTGACGAGAGGAAGCATACCTTCGAGGATCCCAACAAAGGTGGATGGGGCCAGCGGTGCGTGAGCAACCAGAATGAGTCGGGAAGCTGACAAGGCCTGTCAGGTTGAGAACCCCGGCACATCGCAAGGAGGTGCTGGATATTCTGCACGCAGCAGCTGGCAACAGGAGCTACGGGAGAGGAGCAGATCCTCTTCTAGGAGGACTCAAGTTCCCTGATGTTTGGGACGAGTGGAACGAGGAGGCAGAGATTGTGAACCCCTTGTCTCGCAAGGTAACTCTCGTTGAGACCTCTATGTGACTGATTTGAACCTCTCGTAGCGAAAGGTTCCCGGGTCGATTCCTCCTCCTCGCAACTTCCTCACGCCGGCCCAAACAAAGATAAAGTGGAACTGGTGCAGTAGTGGCGAGTGGGAGGCTGAGAGCTGATGAGAAGGTCAGGACGTTGGAGGAAGTGATTGACGAGGCGATCGACAAGCAATGGGAGGAAGACAAGCACTTGATGGAGGCGTACGGTAGCCCGACATGTCTCCTCCTTGCTTTTTTGCTGAGTGCCTTACCAAGGGATCAATCCGAACGAGGAAGAGACGAGTGAGAGCAAGTTATTCTCCGACGAATTAAAGGTTCTACCTGCAACGGCGAGGGAGGGAGTGATTACCTGCAGGACAAGAACTCCGATGGGTCGTCAGCCGACACCGACAAGATCATGGAGGAGTTTCACAAGCCCGAGCTGGACATGTTCGGCAACGAGATGGAGGACGAGATAGGTGAGGGAGCGGACGATTGAAAGTCCACTTATAGCACGTGCAGCGGGTTCGATTGGTCCCGGTTCCAACCGAGTCCTCATCGATGATGTGAATCGCTCCTGCTCTTTCTCACCCGCTGCTGACGCACTTGAAAGGATGGGCAGGACGACGCAGGCTTGCAGTGAAGGAGAAGGTCAGCATCGAGGAGTGCAAGAGGAGAGAACAAGATCAAAACAAAATGGTGCCCTTGCTTGAAGTTCTATTGACTGTGGACGACTTCCACTTCTTCTCCTTCTCCCACCCCCCGTTGCCTCTCACCCGACGAGATGCGATCAATCACGCAATTCTTGCAGCTGATGATCCACTGAAAGAATATCTTGTTCAACTTCTTGTACGCCAGCAGGTCTTCATAGATCTTGACGAGCTTCGAGGAGTTCAATCTTGCTCCCCGCCCGCTGTCACAAACCCTCCGAGGAGTGAAGGAAGACACAGACAGTCTACATCTGTTCGTTTCCTGACCAAGAAGGAAGATGTACCTGGTCTTGAAGAAAATTTCCTCCTTTGTTCTCATCGCTTCTTCCCTCAGCGCTTGCAACTCAAGCTGGAATTCACTCATCGACTTGCCTACCTGCTTCAGCACCCGTTCGTCTCTTCGTCGCTTTGCATCCTCCTGCAAGGCTTGGAAAGAATTTGTCATGGTAGCTCTCAGACGCGCCAACAAGAATTGTCGTAATCGCCTTCGTTTCCGCTTGTTCGCTGTCACGCGTTGAGACCAGATATGATGATAGATGTCTATAAGTTGACGATTCTTTATCGTCACACACACATTAGCGACTTGAAGCAGTCGACGGGCCTGCCTTGACATGTCTTCAGACTGCTCACGACGCCAGCTGTCCTTGAGCTGCACACAATCACAAGACATTTGATGCAGAGCTCTGGTGAGACAAACGCAACGAGCTCGAGCCGATATGAGGGAATGCTGTTGGCGGGTCAGAAAGAATGAACCCTGAGTGACTTGATGATGAATGCTCTTGATCTGCAGCGACAACTCCCGCATCGCAAGGTTTTCTTTTGCATCCTGCACCCATTGGAGCCAAAAGACGAATGGTAGAGCACACATCTTTTGCTTCCTCAACGTCTTGAGCTTGTTTTCTGCTGAACTCAAGAGCAAAGACTGCTCGGCGATCGACTTCCAACCGTGCAAGACTCTTCTTCTTCTTCTCTTGACATCACCTGCGACTAACATCCTTGCGATGTAGCTCGTCCTACGGGAGTGCTTGGCCGCTACTGACCAAGCAAAGCAGGCACGAGTCAGTGACTTGTAACGAGCAGCAGCGTCAAGTCTCAGGTACGTCGACGTCAGTCTCATCTTCATTCGAATTTTGCGATTCCAGTGCTTCAAGTGTTTGATGCAAAGTGACATCTCGCGCTTTTCTGACGTGGCGTCTTGAGCGTGCTTCAGGTGGATCGACTTGCATTTCCTCAGCCACCACATGTGCATCACTCGTCTCGAGGTGTTGAGCCCCACCCTCAAATTGATATGAGCCAGCCTCATTTCTTCTATCCAACGTCGCTGCGAGGAGAATATCCAGCTCAAGAAAAGTCCCTTGAGGACCCTAGCCGATCTCCTCCCTCGAGCGACGTTCAACTTTTTGCCCTGATGAATCGTTCGCATCCATACGCTGAAGACTCTATTTGCCACTCTTCTTCGATGCTTGTGCTGAAATCGGAATACCACACTCAGATTTCGAGTCAGACGATGGACTATAAGCTGCCAGCAACGAAAACTGGAAAGAAGCTGCTTGATTTCTTGCTTTTTTTGGACATAATTCAATTCATTCCTCCTGAACGTTTGCTCTGCCCAAAGCAGTAGAAGTTCTCGCTTTGTGAATAATCTATACTTCGCCACTTTGACGAGGAGATTGCGATCTCGAATCGACCTGACTGATCTCTTCCATTTCAAGGTTGTTTGCCACATTGAAAACATCAAGATTAGATTGCAACGTTGCATTCTCCTCAGCAGCAGCAAACAGAGAGAGTCATTGCTGTCCAGCTTTCTTTCAACGTCTGCCCTTGCCTTGATAAGCCATTCTTGGCAGAGCTGAGAACCCTTCACGACTTGAAAGCTTCTCATCGCCGTCTCGGCCTTGAGCTCCCACGTTCTTTGATGGCAGCGAAGAAGAATCGCGTCCAGCAGGTCAAGACGGTGAAAAAAGACATCAAGGAATCGATCGTGATGTCGGCTGCTCACTCCAATGTCGGCGATAAGACTTTGAAGCTCTTGCTCCACCTGCAGGAACTCCTCTCTTGAGCTTGTCTGCGCCTGCTGGATGCTGGACTTGTAGTGCTCGAAAGCATCCTGCTGACTTTGCATGTCTGCCTCCAAGCAGACTATTCTCTTCTGGTACGAGCTGAGTTCATCGAAGTATTCTTTCGCACATTCCTCCCATTTCTTTTTGATGTTCTCATTTTCAATCTTGATTTTGCCTAGTTCATTCTTGCATTCAAACTGATCTCTTCTTGCTCTTTCCATCTCTCTCATCGCATGCAATATTCTCGTCTTCACCTTGCGATCTCGGATCGATTTTACAGTCACCAAGTCTTTCTGAAGTTGCAACATCTCCTCTCCCAACTCATGTACTGCATGTCTTATTGCGATGTTTGCCTTCTCGACCTCATACAAAATCTGTGGCCACACCTTGAACTTGTGTATCTCTTGAAGCAGCTGCGAGATCAGCTCAACTGATCTGCTCTTGAGCCTCTTCAAGTTGGAGCTCATCCCTTGATCCCTCACATGCTGCTCCATCAACACGTTGGTGAACTTTGTGACACAGTTGTCGACGTAGAAGATGATCTCGTTGTTCTCACTCACAATCGCATTCTCCTTGATGTCCGCAAAGCATTCAAACAGCTCGATCCTCTCAGCCATCTCAGTCCTCGCTACCCTCGTGAGCGTCACCTCCACAACCTCCTGTCAACGTCAAGCGCGTCAGAGACGTATGAGATCAATGTCAACATCACCTTCGCACTCTCCTCTCCCTTCTCAACCGTCAAGTTCACCTCTGATCCAGGAGTGTCTTCCCCTACCAGCACTTCTTGCAGGTTTTCCATGGACACTTCGATGCCATCTACCTTGACGATCTTGTCTCCCCTCCGCAACATCTTGCTGTTGTACGCAGGACCTCCAATCAGCATCCCATCGATCGTCAGGTCATTCACCATGATGCCCACCTGCATCAAGAACGTGTTACCCCTTGCGACTCCTCGGGAAACCATTCACCGTTGATGATGGGCCAGAGCTGGAGTGAAACTTTGAAGCCCCGTTGCAAGAATATAGCGCGATGTTTGTTCCCAGCACTTCTATCAGAGAATCGCAGATCTCAAAACACTTCCTGATGCTCCGACGATATTCATTCCGTTGTTGGTTCCTTTCCAAGTGACCGCTTTCCGGTCTCTGTCTCGTCAGCTCAGACATGGGAGGAGGATTGTAGTGACATGCTGTCTTTCCGTTACGTTCGATCTGGTCCAGGACATTCTGAGAAGGAAGTCACAACAGGGTGAAAGAGCAAGGATCCGTCAACCTGAATGTCCCTTGAATACTTCTCACAAGTGGAAAGATGACCAGCAAGGCTGTTCATGGTCTTCAGTTGGAGCGCGAGGGCATCATTCTCAGCCAGAAGTTTGTTTTGACTTGCGTTTGCGTTCTCTTGCACTCTTCTGATCAGCATGAGAATCTCGTCGAAGTGGCTCATAAGCTCGTGATCCTCAGAGTCTCTCAGCAACTGCTCCATGTCTGTCAGCTTCTGAAACAGCTTCACGTTCTCCATCATGTCTTCTTTCGCTGCTCTTATCAACTGGACGTCATGCTCCGTGCCCTGTAGGAAGCTCAGGAGGGAAATGGAAATATGAATGTACATCTTCCGGACGAAAAATCGTCAGGCTGAGCACGCTCCCTGGTTTGTCGATGCCGACGATCTGCTCTTCGTAGTCGTCAAACCTCACGAGGTTTCCGTCTATCTGAGACAGACTTTCAACATGATAAGAGCGCACGTGACGATACCAACCTTGACGATCTCATCCCCGACTCTCAGGTCCGAGCAGTGATATGCCGGTGATCCCACTACTATCTCCCGTATCCTCAATCCATCCAGCATCAACCCCACCTGCGCAGCTTTCAGAGTGTGTCATCTTCGCGACTCGGCATCTTCTTGCTCGTTCCAAAGGCGCCTTGCCCATTTATCTCATCGAGCTACTTTCATCCAGCAACTCTCATCCTTGTTGTCCGAGAAGTCGCTCAGCTCCTATTTTCCTTCCTCTCACGTCACACTGTTTCAAGCATTCACTTGCTGTATCTAGTCATCTTATGGCATTCTTGTGATCTCTGTATCTGTTGTCTTCCTCTTCCTCTTCTTCTCTTCGCTCCAAACTTACCGTGCATCTCGCCATACCAGGATCACTGTTACATACACAACCGCTCACTTTGTCATCACCAGTGTTTCAACAACCACCCCTCCATTCCCCTGGTCGTACCCGTACCATCCTCCCTCCTACCCCCGAGATTACTACCACCCTACCCTACCTGGTGGCTCGGATGGGGCACACTGAGGGAACAAAACCCGCCTCAAAAGGTACCGAGCCGCCTCGCCTCGGTACGATGCCATGATGCCATCGGTATCATCTTTACTCAAAGTTAAGTTAAATGCATAGCCCCGGCTAGCCTAGTAGTCACGGCGTTGCCGCAGTAGCGCCCGAACCTCATTCTCACCCACTGAGCCTACCTACTACTAGTAGTCTCAGCCTAGCAGTCCTTTCTCACCGTCCTCATCATAGTAGTCTCAGCCTAGTGATAGCAGTCCTTTCTCACCGTCCTCATCATAGTAGTCTCAGCCTAGCAGTCCTTTCTCACCGTCCTCATCATAGTAGTCTCAGCCTGCTGGGCCCAGTGACATCCCGAGTCCGCCGGAACATCGGGCCGGCCCTTGCATCGGTGACCCGACGTTCCCTCTCAGTCTGACAATGAAGCTCCGACGCGGCGGTTTGACAAGTTTGACTAGCAGTGAGAGCCGAGAGGGAGCCGGGGAGCATGGGAAAGCGGCGGGGAAGGGGGTTGGGGAGGGGGAGTAAGAGGAACGATTGTTGCAGGGTGGAGGCTCGGAGGCTACGCTAGGGCTCAAACAACCTTCTCAGGATGAAGAAGCTGCAGCAGTTGTACCGAAGAGCCGCAAGACATGTTGACCTAGACTTTGATGCAACGGAAGTGATCAAGGTGCGAGTTTGGAGGCCTGTGAAGGACCTGGATGACAGTCTTGCAGGAGGGATGGATGTGGAAGCAAGGTGAAGTGAAGAAGACGTGGAAGAAGAGGTTTGAAACAGTGATTTCGCCTCAGCTTCTCTTGTATGACAGGTTGCCCTTGTGCCCTACGAGCAGATGGTGTGTGCTGACTCCGAAGCAACTGACCTACTACAAGAGCAACGATTACTCCCACGCCCTCGGCAGCGTCCCAATCGTTGTAAGCCCGGAGCACTCAGCTTCGGCTCGTTTCTTCCTCCCCGCCCCCCCGTTGAAACGCTCGCAGGATTGTCTGATGGTGGAGGTTGGGTCTGACAAGACGGTCAGCAGCCTTCCCTCTCAAGACGTGAAGGTCTCCTGGTCCTTCCTCGTTCAGGGCGCGGTGAGAGGAAGCCGTTGAGGCTTGTTTGACGTCATCCGCTGCAGCAACGCACTTTCTACTTCGTGGCGGCGTCAGAGCTGGTACCTGCTGCCAGCGTCGACAAGCTCGAGTGACGTGGGTCTGACAGGACAAGCATGAGTGGATGCAGGAGATCGGACATCTCATCATCTGCCTAACAGTCGATGAAGCTGATGCATACAAACTTGGATGAGCTGCAGACATCGATCTCTGCGAATCATATCGACGACTCCCTTCTTTGGTGTCTCACAAATCCTGCCCCATCCCTCCTGCCCCCCCCCCCCTCCCCTCCCTCCTTCCACTCCTTCTCAACCCCCACTCCTCCTTACCGCATCCACCATCATGATCATTCACCACACAATTGGCATGGCCCTTTGACAGTAACTAGCGAGTTTGATTGAATCGTTTCATCTTGCAGCTATGACATGAGCTCTGCTGTCGTTTGGCCCCCCCATCTTCCTGTCCACCGACAACCGCAGGAGCGACAGGAAGCGATCGGCCCACCCTCCTCTGCGACACGTCAGCAACGTCCAACCTTGCCCTCCCTCCAGCACCTGTCGAGAAATTTGGTTTCCCATCTCCTCTGCACCAGCCTCCTCCTCCATCCCTTGGCCAGCTCTGCCCCCCTCTCCGCTGCTCGAACAGCAAGTGCAACATACTCACTCAGGCTACGAACGAGCGTCTGCTCCATCCCTCAAGTTGTCGTCAGCCCCCTTGCTCCTCCTCTTGTAGTCTCACCAGTGCAGATCAGCAGGGAAGCTGCGACTCGGTTCACGATGCCGGAGCCTGCCATGCTCAAAACAGGGACACCAGAGGCGAGCGAGTCAGCTGCGGAGCTGCGGCAGGCAGTCAGAAGAGGAAGGAGCAGGAGACGTGTACCTGTGAGCATTGTAGACGAGAGTGTCTAGGAAGAGTGATGCTCCGCTCTTCTTCTGCAGGTGCTCAGCTCGAGGGTAAAGGTCGGTGAAGACTAGGCGCTTATCATCCACTCCTCTTGCCTTCGCCTCCTTCCTCAGCCGCTTCTCTGCGCTGGAAGGAAATTTGAGCAGCCACAAGATGGAGGAGTCAACTTGAGAGAGGATCTAGACATCTGTTACAGTAGCTGTGGAAGTAAAGGGCTGACCTTCATCCATGCCCCGAACACAGACGGCGTCAGCTTATACAAGCTGTTGAAGGAGGCGTAACGGAAGTATGATGGGCCAATGCCCAGCTCCTTTCCAACTGATCTGGCAGCATATTCGCCGTCTTCTTCGTGCTCTCTGTCATCCTGTCCTGCGAGGTCAGCTGATTCCCGTCATAGTTTCAGCGCACCAGCCGCCCGTAGTCCTCAACGAGGAAGAAGGAGAAGGCAGGAGGAAACAGCATCAGTTTCTCCGTCATGAACCCTGAGAACTCTGGAGGCACGAGGATTCTGTCGGCCACGAACAAGTCGATGAAGTTCGCGCCGCTCGTTCCTGCATATCCATGAAACAAGACCTGTACCTCCACGTCATTGACCTTGCAGTCTGACCGTTGGAGCCCACCTGGACTGCAGCTGGGCGCAGAGAAAGAATCTCGATGCGATTTCCTTTGGTTTGACCATTAAGGTCCAAGAGAACGTGCAACTGAGAGAGCAGGTGAGACCGGCAAGTCAGCTTGTCCCTCCACCTTGTCTGCGTTGATGTGCCGAGCTGCAGCTTCTGTGCTCCAGTCCCGGATGTCCGTCAACTTCGAATATTGCTCGATCTGGCGCCGAGGATGCGAGCCGTCGTCCGAGGAGAGCGCGTAGCAAAGGACAGTCGCTCCTCGCTCCTGCATCAGCGGCAGGAGCGCTGCGATGCCATGCCCGACGATGTGATTGGTGAGGTCAGAGGAAAGAATTCCTAATCTTATACCCCCCTCTCGCACATCAGCAGTGAACCTGGTCAAAAGCGTTAGTTTTAGTTGAGGGATGGTCAAGCTCTACCAAGGTTTCAGGGGCAGAAGATAGCGAACGGAGGAGAATGCTGAGTTCGAGTGATACTCAGCGACCTTCTTCAGGAGCTCCAGGTCGACTCCGAAGATGTTTGCGTAGAATGTTGACAATGACAGCTTCTTTCCATCTGCATTGACAAATTCTCTCAATCTTGTAGCTGCGGATCAACAGCTAACCTCTCAGTTCTTTCCTCGACACTTCGATAATCCGCTTCAAGAAGGACTTCCTGTTCCTCCAGTCGCACAAGTACGCTTTTGCAGATGCCATGTTGACCATGATGTCCCCGCTGTCGGGCATCAACTTCAGCGCATTCTTGTATGCTTCCACAGCTCCCTCCAACTGTCATGACGTCACCCGGTTGACACGAGCCTCGTCCACCTCACGTCTCCCACGTCTCGCTTGAAGTTTGCGAGGTTGTTATAGGCTTCAGGAAAGAAAGGATTCAGCGCCAGCCCTTGCTCCAGATACTGTATCCCGGCGGTCAAATTCTTCCTTGCGCTTATTCCCCCTGCCCTCGGGGTCACGGTGGACCCATCCTCCTCTCCTCGGATCTCACCCATGTTCACGTAGTAGTTCGCCTCCTTCGGATTCGCTCTGATGGCGTAACCGTAGCTCGCTCCCGCCTCCTCGAACCTCGACATGCTCATAAGGCAGTTCCCAAGGTTGTTATAAGCGTCGCCGTATCCTGGCAGCAACCGCGTTGCACGAAGGAACGCCTGACGAGCATCAGCATCGGCAGCAGGAGATCCGCATCACCTTTCGTGCTGTCTCCAAGTCCTGCATCGCCATCCTGACGTTGCCCCTGTAGTCACAATCAGCAAGGAGAGGGCAGGGAACGGGGGGGCGGATGGTTACCTGCGATAGGCATGAGTAGGACCCGCAGGATCAAGGCGGCTCGCAAGGATGTAGCAGCGTTCCGCCAGGTTCAAGAGACCCTCTTCCTTCATGACGACCCCGAGATTCGATGCTGCTCCCCCCCATCGTCCACCGAGGAGAGTTCCTGAGCAGAACCCACCGCACAGGACCCTCCCTGCCCCTCGGATGCTGCCCTTCCCATGATGCTCAGCAGCCTTACGCTCGATCTCATCTCCTGACATCTTAGCCACCAACACCTCAAGGTCCCTGCAGTCACCGCACAGAGTGTCTTCTCCTTGCCCTCCTCGCTTTGCCCCTCCCCCGACAGCGACGACCAACATCATCAGCACCAAGACCTTCATGGCGTCAACCATCATCGACAGAAGCTTCTGATCGTGTTCTCCCCTTGCTCTTGCATTCTATACTCGCCTTCTCCTCCTCTCCTCCTCTCCTCCTCTCCTCCTCTCCTCCTCTCCTCCTCTCCTCCTCTCCTCTTCTTCTCTTCGCAACTTTTCATCTTCTCATCGTAGTCGCTTGCATTTTGCACTCATACAGCACCCTGAGCAGCTCTTACCAACAAGTACCCACCCCCTCATCTTCCTACTACCTTGCATACCCCTACAGAGCAGGTCCAAGACACCCCTCCAGGCCCCCAAGGAAATGACATTGCCTTGGGGTTATAATCTACCCCGTCCTACATCCCTTTTACTACCCCACCCCTCACCCGTCGTAATCCTTCCGCATGCTTGTGGGGAAATGAAGTTGAAAGGCGGCGAGAATAGGGAGAGGGGCGATACGTGGAGGAGGAGGATGATGGAAGAGAGATGAGGGAGAAGAGAAGAAGAACGGTCAAAGTAGTGTAGAGGAGAAGGCACAAGGGAAGAGAAGTGAGAAGGTCGACAATGTCGACGAAGAATGGGACAAGGATAGGGAGTGGGAGAGGAATAGGGTGGGGGCAAGAAATGAGAGGGGGAGGAGAGGGGGAGGGGAGGGACAAGGTTGGGACAATACTGTCAAGGATGATTATAAGAGAGAAAGAGTAAGAGAGAAAGAGAGAGATGTGTAAGGAGAGGCGTTGTGAAGTGATAGATGGAAGCAAGGAGCGGAAACATCAGAATGGATTTGGTAAATGCAGAATGAAGGAGAAGTAGGCGAAGGGATTATGCCGGATTCTATCGAAAGATTGGCAAGAAGAGATTTCCTAGGGAGTTCGTAGATAGAGAGTTTCGACTCACTTCGGCCGAGGGTGTTTGTCGCGAAAACTCTCTTTAGTTTGAGTGTTGTTTACCTCAGGTATTGTGTTGAATCTTGTGTTGAATCTGCTGCAGGAATGCAAGTTGCTGCTCTGCTGGTCTAGAACGGAAGAGATACGCAGCTTCAGTGATCGCCTTTCATGTCCTCTTTGCTTCGCTCGCGGGTTCTCAAAGGCCTCGGAGACCTCGGCCATGTTCTCAAGACCCGCAAGAGCAAATGCTCATGGCTTCCTAGCAGTCTTGTCCGAGGGACCAGGCAGCTCAGGCTACAGTCGTTCACGTCGACGTCTAGTTGGGGGAAGACGACCCGATCTCGTTGGCTCGTAGTTGGCACTGGAGCCGCCGCCGGGCTGGCATGCTGCATGTTGGAAGCGAACAAGACTTATCTAGCGGAGATGGAAGGTGAGTCCTGGCTGTGACAGAGTGAATAGAGCTGAGAAGCTTCAGGTGTGAGTGTGGCTGCTCTGAGCGATGCGGTGCTCGGCAAGAGCGACGTTTCGAAGCTGCAGAGTATCCTAGAGTCGGTTGCTAGCCAAGTCGCGTCGAACGACGTGGAAGACCGGAGAGTGATCCTTCAGCTGCTCTCGCGGAGAGACATCTTGCTTCATCAGAAGGACGCGATCAGACGTGGAGCCTTGAAGGCCCTCAAAGAATGCGTCTCGACGCTCTCTGATGATTCCGGCGCCGCAACCATGGTGGCTGTCCAGAGCGAGGCCTACAAGAATTTGCTTGCGTGTGCAGCAGACACTTTCAATCGAGTGAAGGAAGGTAAAGGTGACGCAGAAGCAGCGGAAACTCTTCACCTCGTCATGGGCTGTCTGTCTGAATGGAATCTCAAGGCGAAACTCAGCCCTGAAGATGCGAAAGGAATTCTCAAGATATGCAGGAGTGACGACATCTTGAGAAGTCAAAGTGCCGGGCTGATTGAAAACTCACTGCAAGCTCTGCTATTCATATCCAAGGCCAAAGGTCAGCCAAGAGCTCGCTCTCTACCCAATCCATTGATTCCTCTTCTCCTCAGATGCTCTTCCTGGCCTTATTAGTGCTGAGTCGATCGATCTGTGCTCGAGAGTCTTGGACGACAAGTCTTCGTCAGCTAGCGCAAAAGTCCTGGGCTCGCAGGTTTTGGCTCAGTTGACAGAGTACAAGGGCTCGTGGCTGAGCTCCAACATCTCCAAGTATCGAGGTTCCAGTCACCTGGATCTTGTATTGGAGGTCCTGACTAGTAGCAGGGTTCTCTGACGTGGTGAAACAAATCGCGCTGCTGTCTTCGATAGATATGGACGCGGATCTCAGTATGAGATGCCTTGTAAGGATCCTGTCTCGCCTCCAACACCTCTAACGACTGCTGGCAAGGAATCTCTGGCCAAGATCGCTACGTCAGGGTTTCACAAGAACCTCAGTCAGCAGGCAGCAGAGTCTTTGATTGGAGCCTTCACCTTTGTGTTGATGCCTTCCAGAGGTTCTAGAGGAGAGAGTGGAGGATGTGTATGAGAGTTGACTTGAGAGCTCAGGCTCGAGTGATGAGCAGATGTCTCTGGCCATCGAGTCCCTGGCGACTGCAGCAACAGATCCGAAACTGATCTCTCTCGTTGCCAAGTATTTGTCGTAGTTCTCGCGCGCCATGCTGACTTTTCTCAGATCTCCGACGGCAGACCACATCATCTCGGTCGCAAGCACTTCGCTCAAAGTGTCGAACGCTGTTGCTGCTCTCCACGTCTGTCTTGCCCTCCTGTCTCTGCGCGCCTCAACACGGTGTGACAGATCCTCTCCGCCATCGCCAAGTCGTCCCTGGAGGCCGCTGAGTTTCTCAGCCACAGCGGAGCCATCCAAGGTGATGGAAAGGAGAGTTTTCTCCTTCTGATGTCCGCCAGGTCTCGTTAGCGCCGCTGAACATCACAAGAGTACCATTGAGATCCGTAAGTGTTCCAACGTTCGTTTCTAGGTTGACTGCCTGCCAGGGGAAGCGGTCGCGACGTGCCTCGATGCCATTGCCTCAGCTGATTCTGATGACTGCAAGACGCATGTTGCTCACTTTGCAACGTAAGTCAAGATGACTGCCGGCCGTTGTTTGATGTGCTGCAGCCCCATCATTATCGCCCTCGCAAGGACTTCGGATGAGGACATGCAGGTGACTTAAGCGTGAAGGTCCGGGATCCTTTGACGGTTCGATGTAGCTGAAAGCTCTACAAATCTTGCTGAAGCTGTGCTACAACTCCTACAACAAGTTTAACATGCAGAAGACCTTCGGAATCATTGGCGAGCTCGTTCCTTTCCTCGCAAGGGAGGACGTCAAACAACTCGTAATTCCTCTTACTCGCAGCTTCCTTTGGGCAGTCTTGACGTAGGGTGAGCAGGAAGTTGTGACTGAGTGCTTGGCTCGACTTGCTAGTACCGACAACGCTTACTTTGGGGAGAACACGGAAGAGTTAGGGCGAGCAAGAGCGATGAAGCCGCTCATGGTACCTCTAATGCCTCCTCTGAAAATTCTGACATTCTCCTTTCAGATCCTCGCCAAGTCACAACATCCCCTCGTCCATCGGAACGCTACTTGGGCCCTCGCCTGCATGACTGCCTGCGACAACAATCACGTTCCAATGCGAGCGTCCATCGACACGCTCTTGCTGGTCTGCTGCTCCATGCACGTCGAACCTTGACGCCATGCAGGTGCTGGCTCATGGGACAAGAGACGCCCAGCGTCTGGCTGCCATGGCAGTTGCCAACTTGGCGGCGACGGAGAGGACGCGGCAGATCTTGAAGGTGAGTGACCGTTTTGTCCTCCTCTCGTTCTCCTCAGGTGCTGTCCACCAGGACAAGGGCGCGGAAACACTGCTGCGCAACTGTGCGCAGATGAACTCCTCGGATCAGATCCTGAAGCAGGTGAGGAAGAGAGTGAGGGAAGGAGGAGAAAGACTGGAAAACAATCGAACGAATACGAAAGGAATTTAGAAATGCGAAAGAGAGGGCATGTTAGCCAGTGGGAGGGAAGGGGAGGAAGAAGAAAGGTGACGATTGTGTTGGTAGGTGTACAAGACGGCCATGACAAACCTGAAGCGAGGAGGGCAACAAGTTTTCAACATTCCTTTGCCTGAATGAGGATCTTTAGAATGAATCAAACCTCACATGTCCCCGAGTCCTCAAGGACTTTTCACAACTAGTCAGTTTCAACGAGTTATCATCGACGATGAGCTCTGCTATACGCAGATGAGAGACTATACGCACTACGGTAATGGTATTTTACACTGATTTCATTTCTTTTTCTCTCTTTCTTTTTCTTTCTTTTTCTTTCTTTTTCTTTTTTCCTTTGTCACGTACAGTCATCCACCCCTCGTATTTAACTTTTAAAATAGGGACGAAGGGGGTAGGGGGGTTACTTTCTTTTACCCTACCCCCTTCTGATTTGCTTGAAAACACCGGTACTAAGGGGTTGCCCTCAATAACCCACCCTCCCAAGATTGACACCCGTGTATTCCCCCCTATTTCGCCATGGCAGGCAGACGGGTAGCGGAGGCGATGCGATCATGCGCAGCATGTCCGTCCTCTTCCTCCGCAGCCCATCGCATCCTCTCTTCGACTTTTGTCTCTCTCCCTTCCTCGTCCGCCTCCGTCTCGTTATGTCCTCAGACCAGGTCCATCATGACCTCCAATCCCTCCCGGATGCTGCATGCCACTCCCCCTCCATTCATCAAAGGCGCAAAGGCGTTTCAGACTCCCCTTGTCTCTGCTTTGCCTTCTACCTCTGGGTCCTCAGGATCGCCCAGTGCACTTCAGCTTCGTGCAATGACGACATGGCGACGAGTAAACGATGAGGAGCAATGGCAGGGGATCAAGCAAGCAGTAGCTCTGGGCCTGGCCAGTCTGTTTGTAGGAGCAGCATGGATGGTTTCATCGCGCGAGACTTCATGCGAAGCCAAAGTAGATGACGATGAGGACAAGTTCACTCCAGAGGAGAGGAAGGCGCTTCCAGCTCCAGGGCAAGTGAACAACCTCAAGCTATACACCAAGTAATTGTAGACCTTTGCTTGCCTAACTTGACGAAGCCCCTTGATCAGAGCCGAAGTTGCTCAGCATATCAGCAGAGAGGCAGGAGGCATCTGGGTGACTTACAAGGACGGAGTGTATGACATCACCGAGTTCATCGAAAGTCACCCAGGAGGAGCAAGCAAAATCCTCCTGGCCGCCGGCAAGGCCATCGATCCGTACTGGAACATCTTCCAGCAGGTGGGGGGGCTGGCTCTCCAGCTCCAGCTCCAGCTCCAGCTCACACTCTTGTCCAGCACTTCAGGACAGGCTTCCCTCTCCAGCTCCTGGAGTCCATGAGGGTTGGCTCCTTGGCCCCAGGAGAGGTTCCAACCTGCTTGTTACTGTCTAGCTGCCCTGACGCTCTGTCTGGCCAGTACGTGGAGGAGAAGCAGGCGGATCCATACGCGGTGAGCGAGCTGCTGTGCCGGCGAGACGTTGAGGGCGTGTGAGCTCAGGTGGATCCCATCCGAGACGAGAGGCTGATACTGCACAACTCGGCCCCTTGCAACGCTGAGATACCGGAGCACGTGACCTGACGCCCCGCCCTCGTGCTCCTGCGTGACATGTCGCAGTACATCATGGAGTCCTACCTCACCCCCAACGAGTTGTGGTTCGTGCGGCATCACAACCCCGTTCCCATCATCGACCCCAACAACTACACGCTGACAATCAAGGGCAAGGTCATTACATGGGCTGTTCTTGCAGCTACTCACCGGCTAGCAGTGCTGCAAGGATGTCACCTTCTCCCTTCAAGATGTCTGGCTGCTGTTGTTTCTTGTCCTCCTCCTCTTACTCGTCCTCCTCAGCTGCAAGAGAAGTTTCCCAAGCATGAGGTTGATGTCACGATCCAATGCTCCGGGAACAGAAGGTCCCACTTTGATGGAGTCAAGAAAGCTCAGGTGAGAGGAGAAGGAGCAGGAGCAGGAGCAGGAGCAGGAGCAGGAGGAGCAGGAGCAGGAGCAGGAGGGGGAGCAGGAGCAGGAGGAGCAGGAGCAGGAGCAGGAGCAGGAGGGGGAGCAGGAGCAGGAGCAGGAGGGGGAGCAGGAGCAGGAGCAGGAGCAGGAGCAGGAGCAGGAGCAGGAGCAGGAGCAGGAGCAGGAGGAGCAGCCGGAGGCTGCATTAGAATGAGTTCAGCTGAGAACCTGAGAAGCTCATTGCGTTTTTCTCAGGGTATCCCTTGGAACATGGGAGGAGTGAGTACAGCCCGGTCTGAGTCAGGGAGAGATCGCAGCAGCTGCTGACGAGCTTTAAGGTTTGGAGGAGCGAGGTTGAAGGATGTGCTGGAGTATTGCGGTGTCAAAGATCCGGAGAAGAACGGAATCCACCATGTTCAAGTCAGTCGTTTGACTGACCTCCTCCTCCCCTGCTGCTCCTGCTTTTCTTTCCCACTCCTCTCCTGTTCTTCCTCTCCACTCTCCTTCTCCGCTCACAATCCTTGTAGTTCATATCACAAGATGAGATGCTTGCATCTATTCCCATCGAGAAGGCGTTCTCGGTAAGGTGCCATGAAGGAGGACAGTGCGTAGTGACATGCTGTTGAAGTATTCGGGTGATGTTCTACTCGCCTACGAGATGAACGGAGAAGAAATTCCGACAGGTTGAGGTGCCTGCAGCACCTGCTCCTCCTCCTTATTGCTTGCAGATCACGGCTATCCTGTTCGAGCTGTTGTTCCGGGATACGTTGGTGTTAGAAATGTGAAGTGGGTGAAGGAGGTAAGGAAAGGAGGAGGGAGGAGGAAGGGGGGGGGAGGGAGGAGGAGGGTGGGGGGGGAGGGGGGGGCAGGAGGAGGAGGAGGGTATGTGAATGGGGATCATCGATGATGCATTTCTCTGCAGGTCTTCGTCTCAGAGCAAGAGGCTGAGGGCCCGTGGCAGAGAGGAGGTGAGCGAGCGGGAGGTGCAGCGGCAAAGCTGACGACCCTCCTAGTTGCCTACAAGGGGTTTGCTAGCAACATCACAGACCTGCAGCACCTCCCAACTCACGTCATCGAGCGGGCAGCTCCAGTGCAGGAGCCGCCAGTCACGGTCGGGTCCTCTCGTCTCTTCCTCGTCCTCGTCCTCGTCCTCGTCCTCGTCCTCATCCTCGTCCTCGTCCTCTTCCTCTTCCTTCTCCCTAATGATCGATCCCTTGGCTCCTACATATCCACTTCTGCCTCCTCTCACTCTACTTGCAGAGTCTCATCGTTCACCCTGCTAACAACGCTAAGGTTCACTCTCAAACGCTCGAGGTGAGACGCGAGGACGTGCGCGTGCGAGTGACCGGGGAGCAGCTCAAGGGATGGGCGTACAGCGGCGGAGGACGAGGCATCGTTCGGGTGGAGGTCTCGATCGATGGAGGGAAGTCTTGGCACACGGCAGAGCTGAAGGAGGTGACATCACTCCTGTCGTTTGCTGGGCACTCAGACAGGTGCCAGGGGTCAGAGCAGAAGCTCACGAGGGCATGGGCGTGGACCTTCTGGAGCGCGAATGTGATGGAGTTGATGGCAAGGAGACGAGCTCACGCCATCCGCAGGTTGAGGTTCCTAAAGAGCTCCAAGGAAAGAGCAGCGAGATCATGTGCAGAGCCACCGACGCGTCATACAACTCGCAGGTGAGCAGAGGAGAGATGCGCGAGAAGGAGAGAGGGAGAGAGGGAGAGAGGGAGAGAGAGAGAGGAGGAGGAGAAGAGAGAGAGAGAGAGAGAGAGTCTGATTCCCATCCCCTCAGCCCGAGCACGCGTCTTCCATCTGGAACGTCCGTGGGCTGTGCAACACAGCATGGCATAGGAAGACCGTCCACTTTGACTGATCATCGCCAGTCAGACCAGGAGCAACGAGCGTCCTTAAGACTCTCATGCACCCTCGAGCACTTCGAACAATGGAGAACGCTTCTACCATTCCCTTTCCTGCTTCAGACCAGATCAACAGCTTGCCTACAAGTCAAGACACTGTTGGTCTCGCGTGCCATGTACCGCATGCGCTACTTGAGATGCAGTATGAGATCCAGTTTACTCTACTTGTTCAATGAAACAGGTACTTCACGACTAGGCCAGCCATGACTCCTGGGCCAGCGTGTTCCACGTCTCACTTGCATTCATCTAGTATGATAGGCAAGACATGAGTGTCAAGCTGATTGATCCAGCTTCTCCTCCCCAGCCGCGGGTGAGCTCCCATCAAGAAGGTGATCCAGAAGGGAAGGAGCATTTGTCTGCTCAGCCAGCTCTCAAAGCTTGCCAAGCAAGACTGACAGATCGTCGACATTGATCGCGTCGCTTGTTCGAGGCTGAACAGACCGGAGCCGCCCATGTGAACGCATGTCTTGCATCGGATGGATGAAACCATCTGCAGCCTTCTGATACTTGTCTCGCATGCCGCCCACAGCTCGAGCTGCTGGGGACTTGTTTCCCCCTGCTCATTCCGCTGCTTCAGTTGATCCAACAGCCTGAGGATGAAGAGAATACTCGGAAGCGACCTGCGCCTGCTGTCTCACTCTCCTCCTCTCTCGCACACAGCGTGGATGCGTCATCACCTGTCGATCAGGCTGTCAACAGCCTCGAGCGCGACCTGTCGCACCCTCCAGTCCTCATCGCCCAGCAAGACATGCATCCTGTAGAGAACGAAAGGGCAGCCGGGGGTTGAAACCTGACGGCTGGCGTCATGGACCAGAGAGCAAGAGCCAGGAATGAAAGAAACGTACTTGTACGAGCGCATCGACCGCCGACTCCCTGACCTGCCAGTCCTTCTCCTTCTGTTGTCAACCAAGTCAAGTGTGCGAGTGCAACACGAGTGCCCATACCGCGATCGCCCATACTCGATCGATCGTCTCCTCGTCGCCTTTGGCCGCGACATGACCGAGAGCAGCGAGGACGGCAGATCGAACTTGAGGGATGGGGTGAGAGAGGCGGGCGATGAGCTCTTTCACAATCTCCCTGCCGTTTCTCGTCACCTCCTCTCCTCTTCTCACTCTCCTGCAACCTATTCTCGTTGCCGAAGATCCGCGATGTAGCCCAAACAGCCACTTGCCTTGATCGCTCGTTCTTGCAACATATCTGTGACAAAACTGCCTCTGATACCAACGTTTGATCCGAGCAAGCGATGGAGGAAAGTTCTTTGACTGCAAACTGAGCGCTCGTGTCAACAAGAATTCCACACATTCATTTGGAAACGACCTTTCTGCATTCCCAACGTTTGTCTTGAAGTTGTTTCAGCAGGCTGTTCACATGGTTTTTCCGCAGCTTTCTACTCGTTTCATCATCCAGCCTCTGACGTGGCGAGGGCCAGGCCCTTTGCAAGGAAGGCAACACAACGTCTTCCTTCATCCTGCTCGACAGATTCTTTCGCGGGGTGCTGAGCTTTACGTCTTGCAAGGCGTTGTGCTCGGAATGTAGCATGTTTCCGTGCCTGCCGTTGGCGGGTTTGAACTCTCTCATCGGACTGAGGGCGGGATCTCTTCTCACACAGTCATCTTTGCTCTCAGCGCACTCGGAGCATCTGTCATGCGACCTGGCGTACTTGACGACGCCGAGCCTGACATGTGACTTGTCGAACTCGAGCTTGTGCTGACTCTCAAAATGCCTTGACATGCTCAGCCCACCCGTTCACCTTCTGCCGTGAACAGGCCTAGCTACGAGCTCTACCTCCTCTGATCTCGATCTGAACATCTCACCATGATGTGCATGTCGTCTGATAGTGTCCCTGTCCTCCATTGCCTTTCTTGCCAATTCAGCTGCTGTTCCTTTCTTTTCTGTTTCCCAAACTCCAGTCCCCTGTTGAAGTTATCTCAATAGATGCTTCTTACAACCTTGAAGACTGGTAGTCAATGATCAATTCTATCCGAATCTTTCTTTCTCTATAGGCTCTCATGACCTCTATCTATGTCTCTTCAAGTTCCGACGGCCGGCCATCGCTCAGCTGTCTCTACTGGGCCTCTACTATCATTGAAACCTGACTCTGTGATATCTCACAATGACCGTGGAGGGAGCCACTATCAACGTAGAGCCCAGGGATACACATCTACTTACACTGACCAGGCATCATCATACGGAATGACAGCACAACTTGCCAACTTCTCATCATGTGCGGACTGCTCTCAATCTCACTCTTTCTCTTTGCTGCCGGCGGCGCTACCCCGCCATCGTCTCACGGTATACTACCGTTTTTAATGTCATGGCAACCGGCGACCCGGGCCGGTACCACGGTCACGGTCACTGACCCGGCTGGTGGCCGGGCACTCTGATTTTTAACTTAACTTTGAGTAAAGCCGGTACTGATCTTTAACTTAACTTTGAGTAAAGCCGGTACTGATCTTTAACTTAACTTTGAGTAAAGACGAGGACTCCCCAGGATTGCTCGCACTGATTTTTAACTTAACTTTGAGTAAAGAGGGACCCGGTCTCTTCTTACTACCAAGATGTCCGGGCCTCGGATTCTCCGACCGGGGCCCCCGGGCCGTCAGGACGGAGTACCGGCGGGACATACCCCGATTTTTTAGCAGTAGTATTGACTTCGGCAGTACCGGTACCTCCGACCGGAATTCCGGGGGGACCGTGAACCGTGAACATTCTTCGGAGCTCCGGGCCAGCGGAAGTGACTCATGGGACAGACAGCCTGTGCTGTAGCGGGGATTTTAACCGCAGTGCCCCTCCAATAAATTTGAAATGTCACTTGAAATTTTCAAATATTTTTTTTATGAATATTTAGAATCTAGCAGGAAAGAACTGCCGCGGGAGTAGTCAATGTCACGTCCCTCTGATGAATGACCAGGTCACGTCCCCTCTATGACTACTGACTAGGTCACGACCCCTTGCCTTCATCAACTTTACAACAGTAAGAGGTCTAAAGGGCAGTTTAAAATGAAATGTAGGAGATCACTGGTACAAATAAAAACTATAACTATACATATTGGTACTAACAAAAGATCAACTCTATAAATGATACAAGGAAGGGGGAAAGTGTGGGGAGAAGGTGATGTAGGTGAAGAGGGAAAGGGCGGTGGTTGAGATCGAAGGAGGAACAAGAGCTTGAGAGGACATGAGATGCTTTCGGAGACTTCAGTCTTTCGGAACAAGTTGGAGCGGAATTTGAAGTGAATTGAGAGGAGACTAGGGTTGGATTGGAAGGAGGGGAACGGGGAGGAAGGGGATGATCAAGGTCGAGACCTTCCGTGACTTGTTGTCTTGCAGGGAAGATGGACAAGGAGAAAGAAGTCGATGGTGCCGATCAGACTAACCAAGATCATATGAAGGAACCTGAAAGCTCCTTCTCCTCATCTGAGCAGCCTGTAGAGAAAAACTTCTTCACCGATGATGAGGGACGGCTTGTGTTTGTGAACCGAATAGTCCGATGCCCCTGTATCTCTCTTTTTCTAGCCATCATCCTCGCCCTAGGTGTTTCTATCATCGCCCTTGCGGTTGCCTTTGGAGGTTCGAACAAGAATCCCTTCACCGACGATCAGGCCCAGTTCGCGTTGAACGACATCAGATCGATCAAGTACGATACTCTGCGACTCGCGTCAGAGGCGGTGTCGGCAGACAGGAACAAAGTGGTTGTTGCAAAGACGCCTCTCAAGACACAATCAACATCAGTCGGAATCTTCTACTGGATTTATGAAGCCAAGACAAGCCAGGGAATCTTTACCAAGGACGCGCTGATGGATATCTACAATGCAGAGACAGAGATCATGAACGACAATCTCTACAAGAACTACTGCCTTAGAGAATACGACAACACCACCGTGTACGAAGAGACCGAGTGCGCCCGTCCCCTGTCGGCTACCGTGATCTTCTTTGCGGAGAAGTGGGACTCGGTTCTCGTCAAGAATGTGACTGCGCGCCTGAAGGATTCGCGACTGGCTGAGCTGTACAAGAGGATAGGTGACGTGCTTGCTGTCTGCTTGCCTGGTTGTCTGACGTCCTGGCAGCTCCTTGCCTTGAGTTTGGGATCAACTGCGCAATAGTGCTGAAAGATGTCTCATCCACGGACGAAGCCGAAGTCAGGAAGCTGTCCAATGACCTGACAAGCATCATGCGGTGGTGGAACGGGAAGAACAAGCAAGTTGTTGGAGATCCAAAGTGAACCACCTCTGCCTTATGCTCCTTCACCCCACTGACTTTGGACCTCATGCAGGGAGATCGCTGAGTTCTGCGCTCTTATCCGACAGTTCCCCACAAGATCTCCATTTGTCGATTTCTACTTCGATGCAAACTTCACTCTAGCAAACCCAACCAGCATGTACTCGCGCTCCCTCTACCGCTTTGGAGGACCTCTCAAGGGCTACAAGTTGGTGGACGGTAAGGAGGGAGACGAGCAAGACAGTGGTATACACGTGCGATCCAGGACCTGCTCATCTGACTTGCGTGCCAGAGCTGAAGAAGTGGATCATCGACAATCATCTCAAGTCGATCGACAAGGCGACTAGCTCGGGCTACAGCAAATTTGTGAATGTCTTCTACTTTATGTCAGCTCTGATCTTCGATGTCTTGATCCGGATCATCCTCTATGATGCCATGAACGCGATCATCAGCATTCTCCTCGTCTTCTTCTACATCTGGTACATGGTGGGTTCAGGCTTTCTCGCGGTCATCGGCATGGTGGAGATTCTCCTCAGTCTCCCGACCGCCTGGTTCTTCGTGAGATGCATCTTCCAGATCAAATACTTCGGAGGGTTGAACATGCTCTGCATCTTCATCGTGTGTGCGATCGGGGCCGATGACATCTTCGTCTTCATGGACGCATACAACCAGTCCAAGGTGAAGGGGCGACATGTCAACAAGGACATGGCCACGAGGATGAGCTGGGTGTACAGGAAGTCCGGTCTCGCCATGCTCATCACGTCTGCCACCACTTGTGCTGCCTTCCTCTGCTGCCTCTCCTCCCCCATCGCAGGCACTCAGAGCTTCGGCATTTTCGCTGCTTTTGTTATCCTGGCTGACTATCTCTATGTTATGAGCATGTGAGTTTGTCTGCTCGCAGCGTGTCTTGTCCTGATGTCTCCTCGCAGTTTTTGCACAGCTGTCGTCGTCTATCATGATTACTTCGAGAAGCCGCCCTTGTGCCAGTTGCCGGGATGCTGCGGATGTTGCGTCAAGGATTGCTCGAGGATCGAGACGAGCTCGACTGTGCTTGCTCGGCAGAACAGCCACGAGGACGGAAGGGAGTCGGAAGCCGAGGACAAGATCACAGTCTTCTTCTCCACCACCTTCGCCAACCTCATCCTGGACTACAGGTCAAGGATCGCCATCGCTCTTGTCCTGATCGGCTGGCTGATCCCAGCGGTGATCTACACGACCAAGTTGACCCCCACGACCAAGACGGAGCAGTTCCTGAAGGACAGCCATCCCCTGCAGAAGTCCATCACCATCCTAAACGAGAAGTTTCCTACCTCTACGCAAGACCGCGGGTTGGACGTGTTCTACGCGTGGGGGCTGGAAGACATCAGCAGGAGTGGAGTGAACCAGCTGCTCGACGACAAGTTCCTGGGAGAAGCGAAGTTCGCTCCCTCGTGGACGTTCACCCCCGCATGCCAGCAGAAGATCTTCGAGGTCTGCCAGCGTGTCTTGCAGTCACAGGACCTGAGCGACCTGATCAAGCTCAAGGACGATGGCACCCCGTCTCACCGCTGCTTCCTCTATGAGTGGAAGGATGTGATAGACAAGGAGGGCTGGAAGAACTCGCAGGGATGGGTGGACACAAATCAGGTGGACGAGAAGATGCAGAAGTTCCTGGCGATGCCTACGAAGAAGTCGAAGAGCAACCAGCTAGTGCTGGACTACTACAACGAGCTGGGAGCTGATCAGCTCGGGTTCGACGGGAAGAAGCTCAAGTATGTGGCCATCTCCGTGGAAGCGAAGCACCTGGACCGATGGAACAACCCGTCTGAAGCCTATACGCGCAAATACTACGACTGGTTCAACAATCTCGGGGACGAGTTCAACAAGATAGCTGAGGCTGAGTGCGGGAAGGTGACAATGACGGACATGGACCAGAAGTTCATCTTCATGAACAACCAGATGATCTACCGCACGTCAGCCATCCAAGGAGCAGGCATCGGAGTTGTCATAGCCTTCGGCGTGCTGGTCCTAGCTACCCGATCTCTCCTCATCTCCGTGCTGTCCTGCTTGTCGATCCTCGCGACTATCGTCTCCGTGATCGGCCTGACAACAATGATGGGATGGCAGCTCGGAACGATTCAGGCGATTCTCTTCTCTATCCTGGCAGGCTTCAGTGTGGACTACGTCGTGCACTTGGCGCATTCCTATGCCACCTGCAGCGGGACAAGAGAGGAGCGCATTCGAAAGGCCTTCGCAGAGATGGGTTCTCCTGTGCTGAGCGGTGTTTTTCTTCACCTGTGCTCACCGTGCCATCGCTGATCCGAGAAACTTTACAGGCATGCTCACGTCAGTCCTGGCCTCCATCCCCCTCTTCCTCTGCCAAGTCGGTGAGTGAAGCCCATTCCTCTCTTCCTCCCCTTTCTCAACCCTCCTGCAGTCTTCTTCTCAGTCTTCGGCACCTTCCTGTGCTTCACCATCCTCTTCTCCTGGATTTTCGCCAACTTTGGGTTCATGTGAGTGCTCTGTCCTGCCGCTCCTCCTCGGCTCACGACCCTCCTCTCCTGCAGGAGCATCATGGCGACCATCGGGCCGCAGACTACGGACAAGAAGGAAGAATCGACGACAGACTTGGACAGAGGATCCAACTATCCGGTCACCACTAGTGCTTGATTGCGTCTTGAGCTGTTTGAGCTCCCCACGTCATCAAGTGAACGTCGAGGTACAGGTTCCCGTCGGAGAGCCCCAGGAGTTTTGAGAAGCCTCGACGAAGCAGCTGTGGGGAGCCGGAGTTTGAGTGTAACTCAACCATCGAGTCTTGCGGTTGAGATGAAATGCTGTAATTTTTTGTTTGAATACTTTACAATGAAAACGACACCTGTTAACTGACCAAGTCAAGCAATGCTGGTGTTGACATGTAAGGAAAGTAATAAGTCATATCGTTTATTCTAGTGTTAATGTTCTCTACTACTCATTTACTTCTTTGTGGCCTTCTTGGCGTCCTTGTGAGCAGCCGGCTTGTGCTTCTTGTCCGCCAACTTCTTCTCTGCGTTGTGCTTCTGCTCGTGCTTGCTCTTGAGGAATTCAAACTGGTAAACGAAGTCAGCACCCCAAAGTCACGATGGTAAAGCATGTCCCCCCAGCTTTCATAATAGCATCTGAAAGAAAGGAAGACGTTTTTGATTCTTTATGTAGGAAGCATGACAGATCAGTGAGTGTCTTCTTTGTGGAGTAGATACCAGAAAGCAAGCAGCAATGCATGACAGACTTTGTTATGCGTATGGTTTCTGCATTCGAGACACGCTCTTATAATTGATCATATGCTATCGAACGATACAACAATGCACACCCATGTCCTTCGTCCTCCTCCTCCTCCTTTCTTACCATGGATGCTGAGGAGCGCTGTGCTACGATTACGAATCCCCTGGTTTTATAATACTGTTTCGGTTCCCAAAAAAAAAATAACCCCCACCCCCTAAATAACCACCCTAAATGCATCATGACCCCCATACCCCATGGTTCAAATGACCCCACCCATATATTGATGTCATAATTGGTGTTTCTGGAAATAAGTAGGTGGGGTGGTGATATGAGGGGTTCATCTTCCCCAATCGGAGTACCTAACTCATGTATAGCCACTCCTGAATTGATGACCCACCCTGACACATCACCTCAATTCGTACAACCGGGTACATTTACTGCAAATATACCGGTATTCTATCAATATTTATATTGATACCCCTACAAGAATAGACCCCACCTCGTGAATGGACACGACTCTTCACCAAAGGTCGTGTCGACCCATTGAAGCACCCGATGACCCCTGGTTGGTCATATGGACCCCTTCGAAGTCAGCACCAAGGTCAACATACAGGGGTACAGAACTGCTACAACCCTACCCCCACCCATTATTTACAACCACCCCTTGTTGCGGCATTCCTCAAAAGAACTTCGTTTCGATCGTGAGGAAAAACGAAATTAATTGAAAAAGTTTTGAAAGTTTCCAACTGCCAAGTTTTGAAACTTCACTGCGTACAAACTTCCGAGGCTTCCGAACTTCAAGTTCGGAAGTTGAACCGGCGGCCCGGCCCGGCCGGGCGCCGCCGCAGCCGGCCCGCCCGGCCGCCATTCCGAAGGCCGCGGGCCGGGGCCCGGGACTCGCCGTGAGTCTCGGTACGGTACCGGGTGTCACTGTGCCACTGAGTGAGTCCGGGCCATGGAGCGGTTCAGTGCCACTTGAACACGGAAGCTACGGTAGTACCCGACGGACTGAATGACGGAATACAAGTTTGTTGGACTTGTACTAGTCCAAAGTCACGCAGACATCACATCGACCTCAGTTGTAACAAGACAGTTTTTGCTCAAGACCGAGTTTAATGCACACAAAAACAGAATTGAGGAGCACTTGAGAGATAGACTGTATGCTAGGATGTGAAACCCAAGCATCCAGACATGAGAGGACCTTAACAAGACGGCTAGGAAGGTCCCCTCTTCATCCCATGTACTACATGCCGCCTCGCCACGTAAGTCGTCTTGGTTTACAGGAGAGTTTTTGTTAACTCGGCGCTATCTGACTGGCACGGCTGGCATACGTTCCATCACTGAAAGGCTGGCATACGTTCCATCCTCTCCGAGGCTCGTAGGGAAGAGAACCCCGGCGTCCTCGGCCAGTTGCATCCACAAGACTCACCGGTCCTCTTCAGCTTGTAGACCCGGCACCACGGGGACACGGTTCCTGCAACAAAGACCTCAGGCCCAAAGGGGTCCTTTTCAGCAGATCACACCGGCTGGCATACGTTCCATCCTCTCCGAGGCTCGTAGGGAAGAGAACCCCGGCGTCCTCGGCGGACTCGGTGTCACCGAGTCCTCGCCGGCGGCCGCGGCGCCCGGCCCAGAGCACCGCGGCGGCACTGAGCCCCGGGAGTCACGGTCGGAGCGCTCGCCAGCCTGGCAGTGACCGTACTGAGTCGGCGTCTGATCGGCCACGGTTCAACACGGTCACCGGGCTGATTTTTAACTTAACTTTCGGCGGAGTAAAGAAGGCCCGGTTGATCGGATAGTAAAGTTTAAATCTGCGGCCGGGGCCCGGAGGCCGGCGCGGCCGCGAGACTCAACACAACCGTAGGTAGTGTAGTGCGAAACCTGGAGCGCAATGCTCTATTCTCGGCATAATGCGGAGGGCAACGGCGGAAGGAAGCTGCTGCTACTTTTTGCCGCCTTGCTCCTCATGACGGCTGTACTGACAGTCTCCTTGTATATCTCAGATCCATCCTCCTCCTCCTCCTCCTCCTCCATCTCCTCCATCTCCTCTTCCGCTACTTTTTCCCTCCTTCAGAAAAACCTTTGGGATTCGCGCGCAGGCCTTCATGTGCTGCTGAAAGCAGTCACGGCAGCCAAGGCCATCCTCATGCAGATGCGAACTGAGAGGGAAGGCAAACCCCTATCAAGAAACGCAACGGTCGCAGGCTTCAAAGCAGACCAGCAGACCAGCAAGAATGTAACGCATGAACTCAGCGCAAAACTGGACAGGCATGGCAGTTTTTTTCATTGCCGTACCAACCCCCCATTCTGATCTTCTTCCCTTTGCAGGACCGCCAAGCTGAATAAATCGAATGCCAAGAAGAAGAGCATTGCGGTGTTGGGGCAAAGACGCCAAGAGCAAGTGCAGTCCTTGCTAGCAGAAGAGCGAGCAATTCGGGCGGAGAAGCAGGGTCTCAACGCAGAACTGGCGCGCATCCACCTGAAGTTGAAAGCGCTGGTAGACAGTGGAGACAAGAATTTGCAGCCGGTGGCCATGCACTCTCAGAGCGAGGGCGGCAAGGAGGACTCCCAGCGACCTGCGAACTTTGTTCTGACTATGGGAACCCATGGCTCGCAGCTCGTGGACTCGAGGCCGATTTCATCTTCTGATGTTGACATGTATGTTTGGATCATGATCAAATTTTGATCTGAATGCGTTTGTAGCACTGGAACCGCTCCGTACTGGGCTGTCGACGTGCCTGGGAAGCAACAGAGGGAAGCAGAACTTGAGGGGAAGGATAGTCTGTTGAACAGAATCTCGCCGGAGCTCAGGAAGAATTTCCGACAGAGGATGATCGATCTACTAGCTGAGAGAGCAAAGAGCCACAAGAGTGACTCGGTTGATCATGCAGCAGCCTCGACTCGCTCGCGTGACTTTAGTTGTGGCAGGCTGCGTTGAACCAGCTCGCTGCGAGCATGAAGCGGATCTCTTCTCATTCTGCTTCCCCAGCAAGGATCTTAGAAGGGTATGAACTGAAGATTGTCTTGTGAAAGCTCGTTTGACTCTCCTTGCCACCGAAGGTCGAAGCACCATATGTGGTCTGGTTACGGCAAAGTACCGCCATGGGACCAGAAATCGTTCTCAAAGCAACAGGTGAACGTCAAGAGTGCCTGGGATCTTGTTCGCCGTCATTGTCGATGTGCTTGTTGCGAATGCTCTGCTTGCATGAGTCAGGTTGTCTGAGGACAAGGCTGACTTGATCCCATTGAAGGTGCTAGAGACAACCGCCGACAATTCCGCCGATGCGTCGAGCGATCCTCTGAACGCGAACGATTTCTACAATCGAGAGATGAAAGAGGATGTCGAGCGCAAGGAGCACTCGTTCCATGCCTTCGAGAAGTCTCTGCATTACAACTCCAACCTCTATTAATCTCCGAGGCATCACTTTCTTGTGTGATTTCTGTTTTATTTGTAAATAGTACACTCATGAACTTCGGAACTCAAGGCCAGCAGTCAAATCCTCGGACAACTTCGCGGCTGTTAGCCTGCCTTCCACACTGGGCCGCGGCTCAGTTATATATCACTATAGTACAAACGGTAAGTAACGGCCGCAACATCGTGTAGAGGTCAATAGTTTTGAAAGGCGGCGGGAGCAGGAGCATGCAGGAATCCGTAGAGGGTACGGGGAACAATGAAGGGAGAAGGGGAGGGAAAGGGGTGGGGGGGGTGGGGGGGTTTGATGATGAGAGGGTGAGAGAGAGGGAGGAGGAAGACCTGAAGGAAGAAGAGGAAGGGCGCTAGCGAACTTCGGAGGAGAGGAGGTGAGTGCGAGGTACAGAGGGGGTTGAAGATTGAGAGGTGGGAGAACGGACTTGAAGTTTCTTTTAGAGAGATTCAATCCATTGTTTCCTTGCCAAGGTAACAACTGGTCATCTGACGTTGGGCTTCAGTGCCCGAAGCTACCGCCATGAACGATGCTTGCTTCCCCGTCAACGATGGCACGTTGATGGGACCAGACCTTCTCAACAACCGCCTGCTCCTCAGGGTCCATCTCAGGGAATCTTCACATTCGGAAACGTTTGCGGTCAACGCCGATCACTTCCGGGGTGAGGACATGCAAAGGCTGGTGAACATCCTCTGTGAGCAGATGAAGATACCTCGAGAGGAGGCGTCAACCTATGCACTGCAGATCAGCGATGGGGTTAGCCCTGATGTGTGAAAGCCACGAGAACGTGATGGTTGTGTTCCAGACCAACAAGGTGGTTGAGAGCTTTGAGCTGATTGAAGACATGATGGAGCTTGACCTCGTCAAATGTCTTCTCTTCTTCTCTCTCTGCGCCGAATCACCCTAACCAGACAATCAGGTTATCGTCAAGATGGCCTGTTTGCTTCGCACGTGCAGAAACCTGAACACAATGGTCTGAGCGTGGACCGAGTAGATGAGGAAAGTGAGGCAGATCTGAGCGATCCAACAAGCACCAGCAACGACGTCGCGAGCAGGCGGCAAATCTTGCTCGACACGGGTTTGAAGGAAAGACAAGGCGGAATGAGATGGTGTCCTTGTCACAATGCCCAGCAGGTTAGGGACATTTCAGATCGTTTCAACCAGATGCTCATGGCGGAGACGGACGAGCTGCGTCTACAGCTGGATATCGTTCAAGCTTCCGTGCAAGCCCGGGTCTGATCCGCACCTTAACCGACGTGCGGGCTGAAGCTGATAGCAGGTGGAGACTGAAACTCGCCGGATACTGGCTGAGCTTCTGGAAGAGGACGAGGTTGTTTCGCTGTTGGTGTGTGTGCGTGCTGATGGGTTCGTTTGAAGCACCTGCAACATGGCATCGTTGAAAGGTACCTGACGCGTAACGCTTGTGCCCGCGTTCATGGCTTGTGCCAGGGAAGGAGCGAAACCGGGGCCTCACCGCAACATGTCGGAGAGAGACGGGGGAAAGGACATGGTAGTTCAAGGAAGTAGCTGGTGTATGCGGTATTGAACATGTTGGTAGGAGATTTGGCTCTACCAGTTGGTCATGCCAGTCATCAAGGTTCTGGGGCGGGCATCTTACCGTTGCAATCTCAACCGTTGCAGATGGAGATGGACAACATCAAGGAGAGGCTCTGGACTCTTGCCAACCGTGACTTCGAGATGACGAGCAGTGTAGAGAGAGGCTCAGGTTACCGCAGCTGTTCTGAAACCCAACCTGTCCGAGAAGAAAGTCCCGTGTGAATTCTGGCGTTTTGCAGAAATCAGGAAGTCCCACGTGACGACACCGAAAACGCCGCGGCAGACTGTCTTGCCCAAGAGCTTTCCTCACAGCAGGTGCCTTTGATCGACTACTTCTGTCTCTTGATCCATCCCAGACTCGGAGGCGAAGACACTGCGATGTCACGGTCCCCCCTTCTCTGTATCCTTCCCTTGCCTGCTAGATACCCTTGGTGACTGCCTTTGGCAGCTGCTGGGACCGAAGGCTGTCAAACGAGCGGTTCTTTCCTTGTTTGGTTGGCTTACGTCCTTATCTCCTCCCCTTCGCAGGTGAAGGAATTCTCAGCTGGGCCAAGAGCTTGAGGATCAGGACCCCGAGGGCGGAGCATCACAGATCGCCGAGGCGACTGTTCGATTCCCGCGGGGATGCAACCCAAGACAGCCTGAGAGGGTCCAAGAGCAGAAGCTCGTCGGGATTGGAGCGAGTGCGAAGGAGTGTCGCAGGTAGGAGGGATGGAAGAGGGACTGACGCCTGACGACTGGTTGCCTGCAGAGCCCTCGATAGAGGAAATGCACAGGAGGGAGGACGGATGGAAAACTCCAGATCGGTAGGTCTGCGATTGGGCCGGCGAAGTTGGCTGACCACTCTGCCTGCAGGAGATCGCAACAGAACGCCACTGACCAGGAGAACTGTAACCTAACTTCTCTGTGCTCGCTCAAGTTCACCCTTGTCAAAGTTTCCGCCAACTGGAGGGTGATCGACTCGGAAGAAGCAGCGCGCAAGCAGAATCTGGAAGACGTTGTGGCGATCCTGCACATAGATCCTGACTATGCACAGCACATGCCCGGGTGCGCATTTCTAGCTAGTCTTCCTTGTCACTGACTTGTCTTGGAAGCCCCATGAGGGAGAGAGCTCTGAGCCTCCTTAGGAAATCCCTTCCAGAAAACGTCACGATGACTCCTCACGTCCGATGGATTTCTGTGCTTCTTGTACTGATTGCTGTTTGTGACAGACTACACACGCACTTTTTACCGCAACTCTTCGATCGTAACTAATTCAAGTATGTTACAATGAAATGGGCCTGATAATACAATGATTTGTTGAATTTGCAGACAACATTGTGTTGATATTCACATAACAGTCGCTGCAAAGAGCGACCGCTGCGAAAAGAAGGGAGCTTCTGTCTGTACAGTCCCTACCATCGGTGCTGGAGCAAAGTCACATTGCATAACGCTAAAACATTTGGAGCCAACCTGCTTGTGTCGTGAAGAACCCGTTGATCTTGCTCTGAGATTGGTCTTCCTCCATCTCATCTGCTTCCCTGTAGAGACAAGTGAGTTCTTCCTCAGTAACCTATGAGGCAACCATTCAAAACTCTCGCCCTGTGTTTCTATGATCTTCTTGGTCGTTGACCAGCTAAACCTTACGAGGTCTGGGTAGCCGAAAACCTGCGGCTCTCCGGGTCAACAGAAGTTTGCAAGGGGCAACTGCTCAGAGTACAGGATCACAGTTGCTCTCCATCCATACTTTGGTGAATTCATCTGAGAAAATTTCAAATCGCAAGGACATGATTGGATGTCGGTATTGAAAACCTGATGGGTATCCTGATCCATAGTCTGTGGAAAACGAAACCCCCGTCTCCTTAAATTGCCAATCTCTCACACACCGATCGCGCGTGACTTTAGCGCAGATCGAGGCTGCACTGACGACAGGAAACAAGCTATCTGCCTTCTTTCGTACAGCAAACTCAATTGAGGGGAAAAGACTGCTCAGCTTCGATTCATAGCGTTCTGGATCGCCAACGGTATCCACGAACACCTGGAGGACCTCTCAGCAAGCTCATGGGATAGAGGACAAGGATGTTGCCTTCTTAAGGTTGAAGTTCGCTGCCAACACCTTTCTGATCATCCCTATAGCTGTATCGTGCGAGATTGCGTTGAGATTGTACGGGGCTCTAAGACAATGTGAGGATAAGACACGAGACTAGACGCCTGTCACCTTTGAAGCATACTCCCAGACAGCTGCTTCGCTGATAAGACCTCCACCAGCCACCCAAGAACATTGCTCTCCTTGATCCTTTCAAACAGCACTTCGCGCTTCTCCTCCGTCAAGGTCTTGGAGTCGGCAAACCCCATCTCCTTGAGCTCATTGTTTCGCTTCGAGCAGATAATGCAAGCACCATAGACCTGAGCTCTCGGCGTCAACCCTTCTCATGGCTGGCTCGATCACAAGCACTCCTTACCATAGGTCCGATCACTGGCCCTCGACCTGCTTCGTCAATCCCCATCTCCCATTCTTCATCCTACACACAGCATGATTACGCAGTGATGCATATGAGATCATTGAATCCTATTTTTTGACAAGTATATTCCTTCACTATATTCGTCATGTCTAGTCTCACTTACGATTGCTAATCGTCATCCTATCACTGTACCGTTCTCTTTCCCACGCCCAACGGTACCCTCACCATTACCCTCACCATATCCCTTCCCTCCTCCCCCTCCCCCCCTCCTCCTCCTCTCCTCCTCCTCCTCCCCTCCCCCTCCTCCTCCTCTCTCCTCCTCCTTCTCTCCTCCTCCTCCTCCTCCTCCTCCTTCTCTCCTCCTCCTCCTCCTCCTCCTCCTTCTCTCCTCCTCCTCCTCCTCCTCCCTCTCTCCCCTCTTCTCTCCCACCTTGCCGTCGATGAGCCCCTCCATGTTTCCCGCCAAATGCGCGTCCTACCTACCCTAGTGGACTCATTCAGAAGGGAAGCCTTTTGTTTCCCACCATGCTTAGGAGAAAAAGGGGGTAGGGGTACCCACCACTACCCCTAGAATATTAGATTATCTGGTTTGTGGCCTTGATATAAAGCTACTAAGTGTTTTTATTTATGACTTTTGTACCATTTTTGTACTGCATTTCATGTTTCGTATATTATTAAAACTATTTAGATTATATTTGAACCGCCTTCAGAATCTTGGTAATAATCATAAAACCAGGTTGTAAAATCAGTAGGGCTGTCCAACGGTCCAACTAGGGGAGGCAGCAGGGAGCAGGAGAGGTTCAGTGAGGAGAGAGCGAGGAGAACTATGCACGCAAGAGGAGGAGGAAAGGATACTTACGATCTGAGGGAAGATACGATGCCCGAGCCGAAGTTTGTTAAGCAGGCGTGTTAGGCATGATAGCTGCATGACAGGAGAGAACTTGGGGGGGATCCGACATTTGTGTACAGAAATCCAGTGTGTCACTAGCGGTTTTGTTTCATCATGCAGGGCAAGAGGGAGAAACGGAGAATCTGGCGAAATAATGGGATCAGTCGGATGGAAGAGATCCCTCGCTCACCAAGAGCCACGGGCAACAGGGGGAATGCACAGGAAAACATCCAATCCGCCGAGGTCGAGGAGGACGATAGCTGTAGATTGCTGCAGGGGAACAGCGATGAGGATCAACACAGCAATCGTCATGTTGACCAGCACGAGATGGTCGACGACGTTCATCGTCTCTTCCCGTCGCAAACTGTTCAACAGGCCGCTGATCGACCCGCTTCAACGTCAAAGGTGCCTCGAGACTGTGAGGAAGAGAACAACAACGTGAACAGCATGAAAGCTGCTTCTCTGCCTCCATCGACACCTCAGCATCAGGTCCATCAGCCTATCATCATCGAGAAGGTCAAAGAAGCTCTTTCTCAAAGGTTCAAATCCGCCCGTAAGGCATTTGCTTTCTTCGACCTCAAAGGGGCGGGGAAAGTTTCGCCTAAAGATTTCAAGTCAGCTCTTGATGAGCTGGGGATTAAAGTTGACTCGAACTCATTGAAAGAGATTTACAAGAGAATAGTCAGAAACGGATTCATACACTCGCAGGAGTTTCTCTCAGCTTTCTCGTGGAATTCAATTCAAAGTGATGACAGACAAGCCAAATCTGAGGATATTCCAAGGTGATTTTCCCATCGTTATCTCCGTCCTCCTCCTCCTCCTTATCACTATCATCATCATCATCATCATCATCGCCACCACCACCATCATCATCATTATCATCATCATCGCCATCATCAGCGTGACAAAAACATGACTTTTCATTTTAGTGCTCAAAAGTCACTGGAGAAGTCAAAGAAGTCTCAGAGCTCCTTGGATCAACGATGCCGTCAGCTTTATGAGGCCTCCGCGTACCAGGCATGTCAACCTTGTTGTTGCGAACGTTCTGTGTTGACGATGTACCTCAGGCTCTCGGCAAGAGTGCCGGTCACAGTTTGAAGCAGCCATGGGGTACAGACAAGAATCCTCTGTCGAACAGCTCCAAGGCGAGGATGAAGACGAAGCAGAGCTCGCGATCGTTGGGGAGAAGTGTACATGACCAAGGAAGTGAGGGAGGGAAGACGCTTGAAGGGGACAACGGTCTGCAGTATGATGCGAACCAGGTTCTAAAGCTCCGTGGGACCTCAGTGGGCTCGAAAGAAGCGAGAGAGATTGTTCTTCAGCTGCAGAACAACAAGCTGCTCTCAGTGCTGGACATGTCAGACAGCTCTATCTCGGTCGCTGCAGCCAGCATCATCACCAAGGCCTTGGTCGCTGACCCCAGCCTGTCCGAGAGGGTTTCCTCCATCGTCATGTCAAGATCTCCTGCTGGGGACCAAGTGGCTGAGAAGATGTGGAGCTGTCTGGCCAACACCAAGGTTGTGGCGCTCGACATGCAGGTACGGATGATGAAGCTTGACATGTAACTGTCTACTGACTTGACTGTTCGCCGTTGCTTCACGGAGCAGAGCACGCTGCTCTCGCCTTTCTCAGGTCGTGTCCACTGCCGAGTTGTCACTCTGCCCCTCATCTAGTCGCTTGCTGACAGGCGCATCTCTGGCGAAAGTGCTGAAGGAGAGCGCGAGTTTGAGCCACCTGCACCTCGGGGGGAACAGGTCTGCCATGTCCTCGTGCAGGTCTCGCTGATCTCGTCGCAGTCTGCTGTCGACGGGGGTCGAGGCTCTTGCTAGATCCCTCCCTCACGCCGCGAGCCTCGAGTGTCTGCACCTGGAGGGGAACGGGATCGATGACAACGGCGCGAGGGCGTTGGCTGAGGGTGAGGGGAGGGCAGGCTGGCTCGCGTTGTGCTCCGCTGAGTGGTGTCTGGTCAGTGTTGGGGACGACGAGGATCTCGCATCTGTTCCTGGCGAGCAACGAGATCTCAAGCATCGGGGCCACCATCCTGGTAGAGGCCATCAAGAAGCGAGAATCCGCTCCACAGGTTTCTTCTCCCCATCCTTATCTCGCTCCTCTTCTTCCGTCCTTGCCGCCGCCGCCTCATACTCCTCCTTGCGCTTTCCTCCCCTTTCTCCATCTCCTGCTGCTGCTGCTGCTGCTGCTGCTGTGTTCAGGTCAATCACTCAGCTTCCACAGCCGATATCAAGAATTGATCTCTCGCAGAATCCAATCTCGGATCCTGACAAAGGTCTCCAGCTCTGTTCGCTTTCTATCTCCTCACCACTTCTCTTCTCTTCGCAGAGCTCCTTGCACTTGAGAGCGGTGGCAAACTTTTGTTCGGCAGCAGCGCCAAATCTGCTCCTCTCGTCTCTTACTTTCAAGACGGGCCAGTCCCTAGTTGTAAATAATACCTGCTATTGTACCTAGACATGTCCCTGAACTGACGCGTCAAGTCTTGTACGTCAATCTCCTATCTGATGACTTGTACGTCAATCTCCTATCTGATGAGATCTTGTACGTAAATCTTGTATCGTCACAGCAAGTCAATGATTGGAGCCCGGGCTGCCTTATGGGCCCGATCGCACTCCGACAAATTCAAACTGGCGTGTACAAATTGACGGTGGTGTAATTTAAGGCATAGAGGCATCTATGCCTTAAATTTAGCCAATTCGCTAACTAAATCTTCAGAGTCGCAATACGCAGGTTCACTTCCTGACCCTTCCCATGGTTGTGGGTTTCGTAGCGCCATGCGTACTCGGAGTGATGGTGATCGTTGCCGTCGCGTTCCTCGCGCCATCAGGTCAGCAGCGCATGTTGACATGGCTTGTCTTGATGGGTCTCTCTCCTTGATCTCTGTCGAATCCTTGTTATGAGGTGCACGCTTGTGTTGCTGCGCAGCTCGTTGCTGTTTGTTGGCCCTCCATTTTCGGTCCGTTTTGAGCGAGAATATTGCAAGTCGTCAATGATCAGTCTCCTGCTTACTCCTGCTTATCCTCGTCGTATTCCCTTCCCCCACCCCCCCTCTGCTCCTCCTCCTGATCTTCACTCCCTCCTCCTCCTCAGTCCACTTCTTCTGAACCTGTTGCTCATCTGCATCTCGTTTACCCTTGACATTTCCTGATGCTTCTGCACGCAGGAACTATCGTCGTTGCAAACCTTCAGAACGAGTGAGTGACCTCCCCCGAAATCTGCAACCCAAACTCAACAAACATGTTTTATCTCCCCATCGGATGATATGCATCGCTGTGGTCCCTCCTCACATGCTTGCAGGGAATCGGACAAGCAGCGAGCTGGACAAGGAGATGGTCGAAGAAAACAAGACTGACACAAGGAGTTGATGGTGTCGGGCATGATAAGTCACACTGACTGAAAAGTTTCTGTTGGAACTTTGTACAAAGCTAGATAACAAACATCTACATGTCTACATTTCCATCCTCTCCTGTCTATCTCTGCATCTCGTCTCCTCCTCCCAACTCTCACCACAGGAAGCCAGTGGGAGGAGCCATCTTGCTGACCAGTGTCATGGGAACTACTGCAGCGTCAGTGATCAAGGCAAAGAGCTCCTGTACAAGACCTTGTTCACCTTCCTCCATGTGCTCCAACCTGCAGCAGCAAGTCATTCCGAGGAGGAGCGTGACAAGCTCAGGTCTTACCCTGCCTGCCCGTCCTCGTGCTGGGACGGTGAACCCGTCGCTTCCGCTCTCTTGATCACCACGAGCTCCTGCGGCCAGTCTCAACATGGGATATTTCGAGGGGGTTCACATGTCGCTACCTTGTACTTCTGGTCCAGAGGATGCTCCCACTGACTTATCTTCGTCTTGTTGTTGAAGTAGTACACCTTCTCCCCGTCACTCACATCGCAAGCTCGACTGACTTCACCTCGCCCTTCTTGTTCGTGTGCTGAGTGTAGTCCTCAGGCAGCTCAGCTGCTACACCTGAACGCAACGATCGGCAGACAGTCAGGATCTCATCCTCGTCCTCGTCCTCGTCCTCGTCCTCGTCCTCGTCCTCGTCCTCGTTTTCTATTTCCTTCTTGTCCTCTCCGTTCCAACAACCCGCCTTCCTCCTCCACCTTCTTCGGCGATCCAAAGGAGATGGGGCTCGGTGGTAGGATCAATCCCGATATAGAGGGCGTACTCGAGGATCTGCTTGGGATCTGACAGGTGAAAGTGAGAGGTGACGAGGAGGAGGAGAGGAAGGAGGCAACGTGCTCAGAGATGATGATGATGGTGATAGTGATGATGAGAGAGGATATGGAAACAGATCAAAGAGGGAGACACAGGAAGAGGAAGAGGAGGAGGAGGAGGTGGTGGTGGTGGTGGTGGTGGAGCAGGAGCACCGAGGCCGTTGAGCGTCATAGTTGTCGTCATGTCAGTTGATGAGTTGACATCGTCCTGCATCTCTTTTCACCCCTTGAAGCGCACACACTACGAGCTCACCTTGCCCACCATGGCGTCAAGCAGAAGGTTGCTTCCTCCCTTGGACTTCTCCTTCTGGAGGAGTGGAGGATGAGCTTCAGAACTTTCACGATCTTTCTTCCCCTCCTGCCTCTCTTCTTCTCTTCCCGACCCCTGTATCCTGCTCCTGCTCCTGCTCCTGCTCCTGCTCCTGCTCCTGCTCCTGCTCCTCCTGCTCCTTCCTCCAACTCTCCACAACTTCTCGTCCTTGTTCTGCTTACCAGCAGCTCGAAGGCCTCGTCCTCCTCTGTGTCGTAGTCCTCAGGACGATCCCACTGCGCTGCGATCAGCTCATTGAGTAGCAGAGGCTCTCTACCTGAGTCGCCTTGGTGGTGGTGTGGTAGAAGTAGATTTCGTTGGTGCTGCCGGGTGGTCGTCAGTCACTGGTCAAGTAGAACTGAAGAGCAAGGAGGAGAGGAGGAGGGAGGAGAGGAGGAGAGGAGGAGAGGAGGAGGGGAGGAGAGGAGGGGAGGAGGAGAGGAGGAGGAAGGAAGTTGGAGGATGAAGGAGGGAGGAAGAAGAAGAAACAATAGGGCAGCAAGAAGCCCCACTTTGGATCGAGTGCTTTTCTCCAAATGCTCTTGCTGGGCATCGAGAAATTCTTCTTTGCGCTGCTCATGCTGTAGCTGTCCATCCTTGGCGTGGTCACACTCGCATCCTTGTAGATCAATGATCAGAATAACGAAAGATAGGAGGAGAAGCTTCGTGGCAGTAAAGAGGAGGAGGAGGAGGAGGAGATTGGAGTAAGGATGAACGCGACAAGGAGGAGAAAGGCAAGGAGGAGGGAGCTAGAGGAGGTGATGGTGAAGGAGGGGTCCACCGATTCGTTCTGAGCTGTCAAGATCTCCTCCTGGAGTTCATTGAGCGCTTGCAGCATCGCTTCCGCCTCCTGCTGGAGAGATGAAACATGCAGGAGAGAAGGCAGAGAGAGAAGGGAGGGAGAAGGGGAGGGGCAAGAAGGAAGGAGAGGAGAGCAGGAAAATCTCTCGAGGATGAAGATTATGTACAGCTTCCTCGTATGCTTGTCTGGCGATGATGACAGCTGCCAGCGCCTCTGAAAGCTCCTCCGCCTTCAAGTGGTCGACAGCCTACAGGAAGGTGAAGGGAGGAGGAGGAGGAGGAGGAGGAGGAGGAGGAGGAGGAGAGGAGGGATACAGAGAGATAAGAAGAAGGAGGCAGAGGAGGAGAGGAGGGAGGAGGGAGGAGAAGGACGAAGAGGAGGAAAGTGAGTAAAGA